ATAATTGGCACAAGAATCTCATTGCTATTCGGGACACACTTTTCCTTCCAAGTTCGCAGCCACCATTGCCCGTGATGGAGTTCCGAAATAACGGTGTCTGAAGTAATTTTGGGGTTGCGGACTAAAGACGTAGGGTTCGTTTGGTTGGGGAAGGAGAGATTCTCTTCCTTGATCAAAGATGCATTAGTAAGGAGGGAAAAAAGCGCCYGTCGGAAGGACCTCATGTATATTTGTTTATGACCGACGACACCGCTTGACGACCAATCGATGAGGTGAGGTTCGAAATGATCATTGCGTAGTTCTGGCGCTATTTTGTAGCATTCCTCAAAAACTTTCTGACGGGTTCGAATTAAACAGTTTCCGGCACTCCAAGAAAAACCAGGTAAACTCTCTGATTCTATGGCCCACTTGTAAAGTTCCCTCTCRGCGACTAAGGGTATGTTGTGGTCTCTCATGATYTTCATCAGTTTTATTTTCACTTTGGTTGGAGCAGAAACATACCTATTCACACAGGGGGTAACAATTATTGTGTTGGAGTCGGCTGTGACTTGCTCTGCAGAGWTGACAGAGTCRAATATTGGCGCATCATCGTCAAGATCAGAATCAACAGCATTCATTTCAGAATCAATCAGGCAACGATTGACKAGTTCCACAGATGGGTTGTACATCACTTGATGGTCGAGAGTTTMGGGCATACCGCTTGCGGGACCATGATTAGTGTTGGTTAGACAAAATCGTCTGCTGACATCCTCCTTGTCCAGCGTGATGTTGTATAAAGAAGAGCTGAAATCATCGACACCGTCACTGTCACCGTATAGAGAATAATAGTCAAAACATATACGACTCTCTGAGAGATGAGTCAATAATTTGGCAGAGGTGATGGCACCTGTTTTTTTGTTGCGTTTGGCACTGTAGAATATGGGACGCTGGGTACTACAATCACGGGACCCATGGCAGTTCTGGCAAAACACCTTGAGCTTGGGAGGACCCATACTAACAAGCAACGCATGGGTGAAGGAATGTAGGGTCCAAGGATACTAATTTTTGGGCATAGACCATGAAGTTCGATGGATAATGGGATAGATTAAAGCGTGATTGAGAAAACATGTTCCCAGAACAAGGAATTAAATTAGATGTTCGATAAATTAATTTGAAATTCATAAACTAACGGTAGGACCAGAAAATTTAAGGGTATAGACCGCGCGAAATGCGCAACACCATGGATCCCGTTTGTGTGATGTCCAAACAAGAAGCCGACAGCAACAATTCATGATGTTTGAGACAGCCATCTGCTCCTTGACTCTTGCAGAGATCCAGGATATTTTGGGGAAGAAATATACTAGGAGTCTTTCCCTAGAGGAGTACCATGCCTACTAGAGGGATGACAAATATAGAACCTCGGCAAGGATTGAACAAGAATTTCCAAAATTTTTAGTACTACTAGTACTAGTAGGAATACTACCGGTACAATCAGCTTGTTATAATAGTACTTCAAAAAGGTCCCATCAACACTACTATCAGGACAAGGATAATCTCTGTACAGATTGATTCTCAACCTCTACTACTGTTGCTCATTTGCTGTTAGTGCTAGCTATGATGAAGGATCATCTTCACCACTGTCCTTGCCAAGGATATGTACGGTACCTACCTTACCGTAGATTGAACCTGTTCTTTCTTGCAGGAAAAGTGAAGACGCCCAGCCTCTACCAGGTACTCGTACGTACTTTACTCGTACTTCTACAGAAGTCCCACACAGTACGACTACCTGAACTTTGTTGAGCTTCTTTTTGAAGCTGGTGGTGCGCGCCGAAATTTGGTGGGAACGATGACCCGACGTGCAATGCCACTACGTTTGAATTTCAAAAACCATGAAAACTCGAAACCAATGTACGTAGACTGAAGACCAATACAGTAGTAGAAGAATCTGGGAACTGTTACCATCGTGTGGCTCTGTATGTATTCGGACTAGTGCTCGTACTCGTATGTACTCGTACCTGTACGGCAGCAAAGAGAAACCTGTTTTCGTACCAAAAACACACTCGTACCATAGCCAACCTGGGTAATTGAAAAGAAGGCTTTTTTCTCGACAGCTCCAACCGAACAGGTCGTCAACCGAAAACAGTCGCTTTCAACCTAGACTAGACCGAACCAAACGCCAAGAACTCTCAAACAAAAGCAACCGAATCCAGGAAAATGGCAGCAGTGGGACAACAAGAACCAACACCAACGTCGGCACGACCCGGGAAGGCCGGTCGTTGCAATTATGACCAGTGGGACAAGGTCACACGAACGCTCGTGAACGAAGCCGAGCAAGAGGAAGAACAAGAAATCGAGGAAAGCAAGAAAGCCCTGGGACTGGACGGTAAATACGCCGATTCGCAGGCCCACGCGGAAGAACGGGAAAAGGCGAAGGACGTCTTGAAGGCCAAAAAGGTTTTGGAAAAATACCAAAAACGAGAATCGGCCGTCCGGACCGAACTCAAGGGTCTGCTCGGACCGCCGCCTTCGAAGAATGGCGACGGGGAGGAGGAAGAATCGAAGGCTACCGAATCCAAGACGGTTCGGGTGACACGCGACATGATTGACGCCGGAAAGCGTGTCGTTGTGATCGCCGACACCTCCGGGGCATCCCAAAGCGACACGCTGGTCCTTACGTCGGACCTGAGTCTTCTCGAATCCAAAATGAAGGCCAACACCACTACCAAACCGAAGCAATACGCCGAAGACGCCGAGAACGATGTCGACGAGTCTAAGGAGAAGGGAGTGGAGCGCAAGATTTATGGCCTCATCAAGTGCTTCGTGACCAACGTCCACAACTGCACCATCTTGATCAAATGCAAGGTCATTTCTGGAAGTCTCGAAATCAACCATTGTTCCAACGTCGTCGTAAAGATCGAACGGGACGCTACCGTTGCGACCATTCAGGCCGATCTATGCGAGAACATCTCTATTATTTTCAACGACGCTCCCTCGGGGAAAAACGGTGCAACGTACGCCGGGGGCATTCCCATGGACACCTCGACAGACTCCAAGAATCGTATTTATTGGGGACAAGACAAGGAAGATCGCATCTTCCATGCGGGTGTCAAGAATATGAGGGTTCAGATCAACCGGGACGGCTTTATGGAAACAGAACGAATCTGTGACTACACCTTCGACGGCGCCAAGGCCATCGGCAATGCCACCGAAGAAGAATTTCAGTTCGTGACGAGTTGCATCGACGAAGAACTCGTTACGGAAGCCGTCGTTCGCGAGGGCTCGACCACCGGGCAGAATGCCAGACCCCTGACAAAACGCGAAATCGAGGAAGAAAAGGTAAAACGAGAAAAGGCCGGAAACATGGCAACCCAAATGGCCGAAAACATGTTCAAATTCAAGGAAGTCGGGAAGGACGGCGCCAAAAAAGTGAGCAAGACCGAGAAACCAAAGCCAGAAGAGGTGCCGGTGGTAGAAGATGCCGAAGAAGAAATAGAAGAAATCTATGCGGGTATGAGCAAGGAGGACATCGACGCGGTGGTCAAGGAGTGTGAGCAAAACAAGGCCCGGGGAAACGAAGCATTTGGTACCGGAGAATACGCTCAGGCAGTCTTGCTGTACACCCTTGCACTGGACAAGGCCGACGAATTGCCGGACGACAAGGACAAGACCAAGCTTTTTGCCCGGGACGTGACGCTCTCGAACCGTGCCGCTTGCTTTCTCAAACTAGGACAGCACGAAAAAGCGGAAGCCGATGCCAAGCTCGCGCACGAATACAACAACCAAAACGTCAAGGCGTTTTTCCGCCACGGATTGGCCCTGCACGCCATGAAAGACTACAAGGCCGCCATTTCCATTTTGGCGCAGGCCTACAAGCTGGAGCCGAAGAACAAATCGATCAAGGAAGCTCTGAGATTTGCGGAAGTCAGATTGAATCAGGAAATGCGGAAACGGATGGAGTAATACCGTAATAGAATGCGTAGTACCAAGTACTATCATTGCTATCATATTATTGTACAGTATTACTTCTATAAGAAAGACTTGCTGTAGTGCCATTCTGTTCGACCGCTTTTGTAAGTCTTCATAAGGAAAGTCTCCTTCCTGTGTTACAAGCCCACACAGGTATCTGCGGTATTGTTCTTGCACGCATCCTACAGGCCCACTCATTCTTCTAGCAACAATCTACTGTAATCAAACTAGTCGGGGATCCGGTAGCGAACCGTACAAATTTGATGTATCAGGGCGTCTCTGTCTGAAGATGGGTCGTACCGTAATCATGTTGTGATTCCAGTTAACATTGGAATAGAGGAAGCAATGCAATTTCTTCAGACATCGCAACTCGTCCTACGTATCCAGCCTACGATTCTACGTACAGTAACCGTTGAGTAGCATCGAAATTACATGTAACCACGCGCGCTTGGTTACTGCGCAGTTACAAAAAACTAACACTAACAAACACTAGTTATTTTTTGCTTAAGTACATGCACCTCAACCTGGTTACAGACCGCGCGGACTGAATTTTGTAACCAGAATTGTAACCAGACTTTTCCCTATAGGGAGGCCCTTCTTTTCACCACGATAACACTAGTAGTGTGGTTACATTTTTTTTTCAGTCTGGTTACAAATCTGGTTACAAGAAGCGCACCGTTCGCTTGTGCGCGCATGTAACCACGCGACCAACCTCAACAGATACAGTCTTGGTTTCTCACGATATTCAGTACTGAATTCAGTACTAAATACTAAGTCGTACAGTACAAGCACTGACCAAAATCGTGACAGTTTCTGTTGAAAAACTGATCTTTTTTGCTATTCTAGTACAAACTCACGTGGAAAATACCGTAGAAATATCGATTTGCAGGGGGAAGCAAGCAAAAAAGCAAGCAAAACAAGCAAAACACMACAAAACAAGCAACCATGAGGACCAGAAGCAACAAGTCAACAACACCTCCGGCAAAGAAGAAGAAGAACAAGGACGATGACAGCGTCGACTGCGGCGCGTGGCCAGAAAGCAGGGAGATGTTGAGAGAACTTTCCCAGCAGTGCAGCGCACAGAAGAAAAACAAGCTGTTCTCCTCTCAGGAGGATCCAAGCTTTAAGGCAATTGGTGCTAAGGTAAGTTGGAGGGGAGAAGAAAACAGTCCTCCTAGTAGGAAGAAACGACAAGAAGAACAAGAACAAGAACAATCGAAATCGAAGACGGTGGTGGCGCGGCAATGCCAAACAGGAGCACCAATCCAATTGGCGCAAGAAGAAGCTCCTGTAATAAGAACTAAACCAAGAAGAGTATCTCTTGATCAAGCAGACACCACCAGCAAGAACAAGAAGACAGCAACACCAGCAGCTCAAACGCGAAGACCAATCCGAAATCCGTACAGCACATTGAACAAGAAGAAGAAACGCGTCAACGTTGTATCAACAGAAAAGAACAACAAGAAGAAGAAGGCACCAGCAAAAAAGAAAGCAGCAACAACAAAGAAGACAATCCCACCAACACTGGCACAGACGCCAGCAGCAGCTGCCACTGCTGTTCCTGTCGCCAAATGCGACGATTCTCACGACGACAGTAAAGAATCAAAGCTTGAATATGCAAAGAAGCTCATTAATAATCCAAACGCCTTCAACACTTTGGGGAGTGACGAGTATGCAACAGCCGAATCAAACACCAAGGGGTATGCAGCAAAGAGGAAAGGATGCCTTGCTAGATTTGTGAAGACCATCCTAGAAGCAACGAATCCAGCCACAAACAACCCTGGAGACAAAGTGATGTATGAGATGTTCACCAAGAAGGTTCCTATGAATGATGGTCTAACTGAAGACTATTTATTCTACAGGAACGTCGCTGGTAAAAAGGATGCCCTCAAGAAGACTCTGATGAATCAAGCCCTCATGATATGGACCCTTAACATTAAGAATGCAAAGAACGGTGATCCTCTGGATACAAACACTCATTCAGTGTATGTTCGAGTCCTATTCTCAGCCTTCCACGAGAAGGGGATCCAGTTCAATGAAGCGGACTTCAAAGGCAAGGGGCTCTTCCTTAGCGCCGTGAAGCTTGACTTCAGCAGGAAGCGTGCTGTAGATCCAACACTTGGAACCAAGAGAACAAAGGCTGCCTTTGATGAGTATGGGGATGCAAAGTTCATGAGCTTGCTTCACCGTGGAGTGTACAAGCCTTACGACGACATGCAAGACTTGCTGAAAATTATCACGATGGAGCTTGGAAGACAGTTTGGGCTCAGGGGGAGGGATGAAATCGTCTTCCTTGAATGGCGATTCATGAAGCTTGGAAGCTTCCCCCATGGAAAAATGGAGAACAGTAAATATGTAATCATTGCTCCGGGGGGAGGCTTCGACAAGGGGAACCAGCTCGGCTTGAGCAATCCAACCGTGAGCCAGATGTTCCCAATGGTAGTCGAGGACAAGACAAATCCTTATTGCATTGTAAAGCTCATCAACTTTTACAGGACGCGTTGCCATCCAGATCAGCAAAGATTCCTTTGCTATGTGAGGGAAAATCGATCCAAGGACAATCCGTATTACTTCAAGGCAGCCATGCCGGTTGGACAAGATACCATAAGGAAGTGGGTGAAGGAAGTGGCCATAGCAGCTGGATACAAGGATGCGGAGAAGTTTACTCCTCATGATAACCGGCATTGTTGCTGTACTGTGTTAGCATCCGATGTGAATGTTCCTGAGAAGCTCAAGATGAATCATCTTCGGCACCGAAGTGCAAAGTCATCTCAAGTGTATGATCATGTAACATCAACAACTCAGCAAAGAGTACAAAATACTCTTCATTCAGGCTTCAACAATAAGAAAGCAGCGTTGGTGCCTCCTCCTGTTCTTCAAGCGCCAGCGGTCGTAGCGCCTCCTTCGGTTACTCTTCCGCCACTGCCTGCTGCTGCTGCTAGTAATGAAGGATCTCCTGGAACTGCCTTGAAGGTAGCCCTCCTTGAGGAGCTCAAATCTGCAAACAAACGCAGAAAGGAGGAAGTTGTGGTTGCTTGTTCCTCCCCCCCTGCTGCTGCTGAGAAATCCGGCGGCGACAACAAGAAACGACGAATTGAGGAACAGGAAAAGGAACTCAATGAGGCAAAGAAGACCATTTCAGATCTTAACGACAAGATCGCCATGCTCACCAGTGAGTTACAGGACAAGAAACTTGCAATTGGAATCCAAGAGGGAAAGGATGAGTATAAGAGGAAAGAGATTGAATGGGAGAAAGCCAAGAGTGCATCCCTCGAAAGGCAGCTAGAGGCTGCCCGGAATGAGCTCAAGCTTTTAACAACCATGCAGTCGATGCGATCCCAGCAATCGATGTGTCTTATGATGTAAGCAGCAGTCGTTGCTGTTTGCTTGTTGCTACGAATAAGAACTGAGCTTACTGCTGAAGAGCAAAAAGCTTCCAGCAAAGTATCAGCGGCAATACAATTAGTAGCGTGAAGAATAATATATTGATTTCTAATCATTGCTGGATATAAAGGTAATGATCATTAGTCTTTGATTCGATGCTGATGCGGTTCACCTCAAGCGAACCATAAGTACGTACTACGTAGTACTGATTTAACGCTTGGATTTTGCTCACAAAATAATAACAAATTTGAGCAGTCTGGAGCCTTGATTTCTAATTTTGCCGTAGAATCCTACGTGAAATTTGTACCAGAAACTGAAAATCAGTCCATTTTTTCATCGAAACTGGAGAAAAAGCAGCAAAAAGCAGCATCCACCACCAGGGAGGGAAAAGAGCCCAGTCCCCTACATCAGAGGAAGCAATGCTTGTAGTTCGGTTGCAGCATCCGGAGGGACCAGGGAGGGAAAAGAGCCCAATCCCCTACATCGGAGGAGGCAGTGCTTGTAGTTCATTTGCTGTAATCCGGAGGGACNGGGAGGGAAAAGAGCCCAATCCCCTACATCGGAGGAGGCAGTGCTTGTAGTTCATTTGCAGGCTCCAGAAAGCCCATTCCCCTACATTGCGGAGGCAGCGCTTGTAGTTCATTCTTTGTTGTTGCAGCATCCAGGGAGGGACCAGGGAGGGAAAAGAGCCCAATCCCCTACATTGTCGGAGGCAGTGCTTGTAGTTCATTTGCAGCAATCCAGAGGGACCGGTGGGGAGGGAAAAGAGCACATTCCCCTATATCGTCGGAGGCTCCAGAAAGCCCATTCCCCTAGTAGTACATTGCGGAGGTAGTGCTTGTAGTTCATTTGCAGCAACGCAGTAACCTCACGCTGCGTGGTTACATGTAATTGCGATGCTACTCAATCGGTTACGTTAATAACTGTGGCATCGCATCGGTCCCAGCGCTACAAGAAGTACTTTCTTCAGCAACACCAACAACAAGCTCGAGAGCTAAAGCTCTTGAGCTTGTTGGTGGTGTTGCTGAAGAAAGTACTTGCAGTAACCTCACTTCGATCTCGAGCAAGCTCTCGATCTCAGTGATGTTACTGGTGTACCGAAAATGTAACCAGAAATGTACCTTGTTGAGCTCCGTGTTATTTGTGTGGGAAAAATTTTGTACCTGGGTTCTCGAGCTTTAAGCTCTCGAACCCAGGTACAAAATTTTTCCCACACATTAGCTCTCGAACCCAGGTACAAAATTTTTCCCACACAAATAACACGGAGCTCAACAAGGTACATTTCTGGTTACATTTTCGGTACACGCGCGGACCGTGCGACGCCACAGTTATATAACATACCAACGAGTTCTATAAAACACGACTTAAAAATCTTTTTCAGGGTTCAGTAGGTGCCTATCAGACGAATTTCGAATTTGCAGTACCGTATTTACTGTAGTGAAGTACCCGAAGTTTTTCGGTACTCCTGAAGTCGACAGGAAGCACTGTGATGGCAATTCACTTCGTATTTCTATTTTTGGCTAGAAGCAGTTGTCATCGACATTAGAATACTGTGATGTCATTAAAGAAAACATCCTCATTTGAAGTAGCCAAGAACACTTACGATACTGAGAAAATGGATTCTACAGAAAAGAGTTTTTCTAAGAACGGTGAAATCGAAGTTTCCATCAATTTGTCGGTTGATGACAAGACCCGCCACTGGGTATACTTCAGAAGCAATCCAAGAACCGATGAGGAACGGTTTAATTCGATACACAAGGATGACTTTGGTAGCGCAAGTGTCCAGTGCAAACAAACAATTCTAAATGGACGCACAAATCGGGATTCATTGACACTAGATGATGCAAGTTTCGAACTAGTGGACGACTTTGATGTTTCGAAACTCTTCTCAAACCAAGACTTTTACGAAATGCAATCCGGAGAAAAAAATTTCAATGGCTATCACAAGGCAGTTGAAGATTTCGTCAAGACCAAGTTGGGATGCGACAAGGTAATTTGCTTTCATAGCCAAGTCCGCAATGCACAGAGAACTTCTTCCGACGGTGTTGAAGGATACGCCGGTGGTAGCCCCCATACCGATTCGAGTCCGGTTTCAGCCGATCAGTTAGCCCTACAGATGTTGCAAGCCAACAACGACACCGGAACATACCAACGATACTGTTATTTGAATTTATGGAAGAACATCTCCGATACACCCATTCAAAATGATCACCTGGCAATGATGGACGAACGTACCGCGGTGAAACCCGATGATTATATCACCAAAGATTTATTTGGTGATGGCTATTCTGTGGTACAGTATGGATTGAATGCCCGCCACGCGCATTTGCATAAATGGTATCATTTCCCACACATGACTTCGAAGGAGGCGATACTGTTCAAGCAAATGGATAGCGATCCAACAAAAACCGGACGAATTTGTTTCCATATGAGTGTACACGACATATCTGCCGACAAGGATAATGCCCAGCAGCAATCACCCCGCGAATCTATCGAGACGCGCATGATGTGCTTTTGGAAGGACGTGGCTGCCTCCAATGGAAGTAGCAACGGCAATAATGCAGGCAGTAGCATGCCGACCCCTACCAACATTCATGAAGATATGATAAAAGATCCGGAAGTCTTTGCTACCGAGTTGGCTGCCGGAGGAGCTACTTTGGAAGGAGCTACTGTTTGGAGGCTATTGCTTGCTTTGTTCAAGAAAATTCCCCTCCTAGGTTCTTTGCTGTTTTCCAGTGATATTTCATCTTCTCGTCCCAGCAAATATTCTGGAAATCCTGAAGATTATTTGCCTCCATTTGTGGAAGCAATGAAATACTATGATTCGTGGCCGGCATTCGGAAAGACGTATGTTGAAAACCAATTCAAGAACTCCGCCGATTACGATGCTGGTGTGAAACAATTGACGCGACTTCTTGTCAATGATGCTTACGGTAATCTGAAGACCAGAAGTCTCAGGCCCTTGGAAAAGGATGCCGTCGTACTCTGTCTGCTTTCCTATGAACCATATCTAGCAGAAGTGAAAAAATGCTTTGGTGATTTAATGTAACCGACAAAGAATACAGCCGGTCGCATTGGAGGATTCTGTCGTCTAGGGTTATCCGTGGAGAAAAGATATTCCCCAGTGCCATGCAAAATATGGACAGGTCATCCATAATATACAAACCCAACGGATCAACAGTGGTTGGTGTATTCAGAAAGATGCTAAGTCCACAAAAAAACGAGTAAACGATGTCCTTCTTTGTGTCCTTTCTGTGGCCAGCGCTATCCTTGTTCTTTTCATTATTTGTTGCTGGCAGTGAGATTATATAATTCCCAATACTACATCAGATACATAAATGCAACACTTTTGCAGCAATTAAAAGAGGATCTAGGACAGAGATTCTTACTTTTATTATTTTAATACTTCATCATCAATCTAATATGTAGATAATGATTTCATCAATTTGTGAAGATATTAGTAGGGTGTGGCTGAATTCTTAGAAACTCAAATTTGTACGCGCAACAAGCAAGGAAATAGCTATTTCTGAGCAGTTGGTGGTATTGTGTTGTTTCTTTCTTGTCTGCTGAGGAAGCAGTACATCCATGTTCACTTGGACTTCAGGATTATGACTTGTGATCAGTTGCTCTTCAAGGGAATCAACAATAGTACTTACCATACCTACATGGAAGTATGTCCACTACATAGGATGTGCAAGGTGTCATAAATTTAGAGGGGTGCCCAAGGCAATCAATTTTTGCAGCAATTTTTTGGGAACCATATTCCATCTATGACAGGAATAAGAAAATTTTGACCCCAGGGATTTTTTTACATTACATTTTTACTGCATAACAATAGTAGAAGTAAAACTATCCAACTTGTTTTGAGTAGTCATAGCTTTGTTCTTATAACATATACTACTATCATAATTTTCAACTGCACTGTCTGGACTTCTAGTTTTTCATGAGGATTCTGAATATGATAATATTTTCAGTAGCAAATGGATTTTTGGTGTACCCATTTACTACCTCTGAAAGTTTGAAGGGAAAAAAGTACATTGAGAAGAAGTTTCTGCTTCTAGTGGTGGTGGTAGTAGTACTACTAGTAGCAACCTATATGTTCATAATCCTGATTAAAAAAACTCATCTCCTAGTTACAAGGGTTAGACATCAAGAACCTAATCTTAATTTTGACCAAGTTGGTACAATTTTAAAACTAAATGAATTCACTGAGAGGACAGACCATTTCACACTGGCAGTTCTATTACTACTGTGGTATTACTAGGAATAAAATTGAAAATCCATTTGCTATTGCTGAAAAATGGCACATTCAGAATCCTCATGAAGAACTGGCATAGATAGTATTCTCAAAAATTCTTCTACTACTGGCATAGATAGTATTCTCAAAAATTCTTCTACTACTAGGAATCAATCATATTTGCTTGATATTACTACTACTACTAGCAACAGTCATAAATAATGAAGCTATCCTCCTCCTCTTTTTGTGTCTGTTGGTGTCACTATTTACAATGGCACCAAACATCTCTGTAACTGATGAAACATCCACAATAGAATGATCACCCTACTAGTTACTGACATATATCAATTGTGGAAGATGCCGCAGCAACAAACAAGAAAATGGTTTCATCCTTTCACAACACTAGTAGTTGATAGTAGTAGCACTTTTTTGTAGCAAGAAAACTTTACTGGTAATATTGATGGAGCAGAATGAAGTCATACAAGCAATCTATCACAATTCTAGCTATCATCAATGAATAAATTACCAGCTCTTTTTGTTAGTAATCTGCTACTAACAATGGGGAATGAGGTAGCTGAAGAACCTACTATCAATGCTGCTGCTTCTTCTTTTGATCCTTCTTTTTGTCATAGTATGGGCAGGGGAGTGGGTGTGTCCTAGTGACATTGATTGATATTTGTATACATAAATTTAGCATTAAAAATCCAAGAAACAATTGTGCTTTTTTGAACACCAACTCTACTATACAATAGCCAAGCTGTCCTTATTTATTGATGCTGGGTTCTTTTTAATGTCAAAATGACTGATAGCAATAATTACTGCTGGTAGTGAATTTTTAGTCTTAGGAGGATTTGGGGTTGTTCTCTTTGTATTCTTGTAGATTTTGGAATGGCCAATCACAAATTTGTTGACTTGTTACTATTTATTTTAGTCTTGTGAGCAATTTGCTTCTCTTAAATCTTGGACTGACCAATCACAAATATGACTGTTCTTGTGCTTTCAACAAGAAGAAGAGTTAGAACTTCTTGTTCTTCTTGTTCCACCAGTGCTGGTCTGTAGTAATAGTAACAACAACAAGAAGAAGAAGAACTCCTCTTGTTCTTGTTGTTATCATTATATTTACAACACCACCAACAACAATGGTACTCAATATATACAACAACTCAATGAATATCAGAAACGATACACAGTCACAGTGCTTTCATTGTGGATTACTTGTTCTTCTAAAGTCTTTTCAGAACATTACGAGTCCTTTCCACCTTGCTGGCACTAACTTAGGTTTTGCACCGTAGTAACTACCGTTTTTGGTACTGGTATTTGCTTTACTGTACCAAGCCAATTTGCTTATGCCTCGCCCTACAACTACCCAGTGGTAGGAGTTGTGATTGGCCGGGTCCCGTGTCCCGTACTCGAACGTACCGGTCAAGTTGGAGGGAAGCAATGGATTTTTATTCATTCAGTCACATTCCTTTCCTTTCGTGAGATCCCCCTTAGCATCGAACGTGTTCTGCTGAAGCGACATCATCTCATCAAACCATACCCACTGGTCATTCAGCTCTGTGCCAAAACGGAGCGAAGGCTAGAGGCCGAATAGCATAAAATACTGTACTGCACACCCTATTCTCGACGGTCCGCACGAGTAGAACAAACCAAAATAAAATCGTTACTGTACTGTTATTTATAGTCTGTTGGAACAAGATGGCATCCACGCCACACGAAATTGAGAACGACAACCCGGAAACGGCACTTCGCAAGACACTGGCGTCACTGGACGCTCAGCGAACGGCCATCCAGGAGGAAGCAGACGCCATTATTGCCGAATTGACGACTCCCCCGAGGGAAGGAGTCGAGCCCATGGGTCTGGACACGCCGTTGGTCGACCAGGAAGGGTATCCGCGGGGCGACATCGACGTTTACCGGGCTAGGAGCCAGCGAAATCGTTTTCGGGTCCTGAAGACGGATCACAAGGAACTAGAGGGAAAGGTAGAGGCGCTCCTGGTGCGATTGGCGAACCTGAAGGTAAGACTGCCATGAAAAATTGAGTGCTACGAGAAATGCAGTTGTAAATGCATACGTCATTGGAAAGAAAACAAACTGTTACTGAAATTTGTAAAATAGATGGCCTACGGCAACATCCTGTTGTGATCGCTGTCATAGCAGCCATTGCCAATTGTGGTTTCTTTCGCTGCTAGTTTTGGCTTATGACATTTGGTCTCACGGATGCGCATTCTGACTCGCCTCTCGTCGCCTCGCCTCGCCGTTCTCTCGGACCGCTAAAAGAATTCGAATCCCACGGAAACCAAAGCAGGATCCGACGAGATTGCTCGCCGGCGGGCCCCCAAACCCAAACCAAAGTACGACGCCGTGACCGGCAAATGGGTTGTCATGAACTGGGACGGGTCCGTCGCCGGAATCAAAGACGGCGACAAACTCAACTTTCATGATCTCTCGGAAAACCGAGGGACCCAACAGCAAACGAGCCAGAGCTCGGTGCCGTCCAACCCCTCGGAACGGAGCGCTTCTTCCGTGGCCGCCACCTCCCGGCCACCGCCACCAAGGGAAGTGCGGCGGCCCTTTGCCAGGGTGGACGGTGTCGCGGTCGACTCCCCCGCTTCCTCCGCTGGGATGAAGGTCGGTGATCTGGTGACCCGGTTCGGACCCCTCCACGTCGACAACCACGACCGGTTACGGGCCCTGGCGAAGCTCGTGCCAGAGGTCGCCAACGAGAGGGGGACCATCCGGCTCCTCGTCCTGCGCCGTACCGGTGGAAACGACAACAACGGAGACAACAACTACAGCGACGAACGCCAGTGGAAGTCGCTCGAATTGATGCTCCGCCCGATGCCTTTTCCGGGCCGGGGGCTGCTTGGATGCCACATCGTTCCCTGTTCTTGATCGATCGACGACTGGAGAAAGAAATATTCGGCACAGCAAGGTAGTTTGGAGTGCGCCTTGTGCCAAAATCTCTACGAAACAATGGCTTCGCTAATAAAAATTACTGTTGGGGTTCATTATTCTATCGTTGTGAATTTAGGTGTTGATCGGACTACGAACTCGTTCACGTACCGCACGAATGCGCACTTTCGTAGCGTGTAGCAACCGCAACCGAGCCGTAACTAGCACCGCGTGTATTGTACTAATCTCTTACGAAGGATTCATGCAATGGTGATTTCGTTTGAGGACCAGCGAACCAATTCTCTAAACCTCTCGCAACCTCTCTAGTTGCGTGTTTTTGTACCTGTGTGTGTTTTTGCGTGTGGATTTTGGTGGGTGCAAAGCGACACCAATGCGCCGCGCGGTACCCGTACACCGGAACACTGCCACTGCAGCCATCAGAATCCCTCGCGTTGTCACCGCTTCCGAAACCGCCTTTGGCCCTTTTGGTGCCACTGCTGAAAGTGTCCCGTTGGCGAGCTCACCGGCACTTTGGACGGCTGGTCCAATCGGTCGACGGCCCGAATCATTTCGTCGACGGCCACGTGGATGCGTTCCGGGAGGCTCGTCCCGCGATTGCCCTGCCAGGCCGTCAGGAGGTTGTCCTGGAGGAGGAACCGCTGCCGGAACAACCCCTTGCGGACGGTCAGCCAGTGCTTTTTCTCCTGCTCGTCAAAGCTCGTCCAGATCCGGATGTGTTGCGTGTCGTGGTCGTGGTTGTTGTTGTTGTTGCTGTTGTTGTTGCTGCCGAGGCCGTGGTTCGAATCGGTGGAGGTGGCCTGGGCCGGCTCCTGGTCCACGGGTGTGGCGCGGTTGCTCTCGCGGTCGCTGCCGCTGCTCGAGCGGAGCGTTCCCGTTCCCGTCGCCTTTGCGGAAGCCTCCCGCTCCGCGTCGTCGCGACTCTTCGCGGCACTCGCCGACACGGTGGCCGAAATCACCGGCTCGGCACCGCTTCCACGGCCCGGGATTGCGTGGTGCTTGGGAGCTGCGCTGATCTGCAGCGCGGGGGGCAGAGGAGGGCAGCTCTTCGAGGCCACCGGCGGGGGGACGTACCTAGCCTCGAAGCTCCCGTCGCGGTGCAGAGTCAGGGATCGATCCAGGCCCTTGGAAACGACCCAGTCGTGGTGGCAGTCCTGCAGGTATTCCAGCACCACTTGCGAGAGCGGGTGGACGTAGGCCCTGCGGAGTGAATCGTTGGATCCCTGCGGAAGGGAGGACCGGGCACCGCTGCCTTCGTCGTCGCTGTTGCGGTTGTTGTGACTGCTATAGCTTCGAATGGTCACGGCGGTTTTGCTCTTGCTGTCGATGGCGATGCTACTGGCTGTGCCTCCGGAAGCATACGGATTGGTTGCATTCCCGGTGCTGGAGCAGAAAGGAAGAATTCTATGGGAGGTGCAGCGGAGCGAACGGCAGGGTGCGGTTTGCGGTGTCGTGGCGAGCCGTTGGATTCCTCGAAGGGCGGCCGACCGGGAAAGAATGTTCTGCATGTTCGCTGCTGTACCCAAAAAGTATAATGGTGGAGTGTGTTGCAGCAAAAATAGCACCGTCGTTAAAGAAAACAATCACTGCCGGAAAAATTGAGCAGCAGTACCGGGATTTGGCAAACCGTCGCAGACTCGTCCTGGAAAAAACGTCTAGCACCAGAATGAGAACAATTCGTACTCAGTAAAAAGCGAACACGGGAAGGATGTACAACGATGTTCGCTCGTGCACAACACAAAGGCAGGGAAGGTAGCAATTTATTTCAAGCAGGAAAGGAATGGTATTCTTCGTTGGATTTGAGACAATCGCTGCAATCAATATCAATCAAGACGGCAATCTATCAGACAATCACAATCCGTTAAGCAATCAATACGGCAAACAATCGATGCTCAAATTCACTTAGTAGTCACGGAAACAGAACGCATTTCGTTTCGACAACGCTTCCTGTACAATTTTACTCGCTGCTCGTACTTTTTCGTAACCGAAGATTCTGTATTCTCACAGAAACGAATACCATTTTTCTCGCCGTCGTCACAGAACTTTGCGCTTCTGGAAAAAGGACATCAAGGGATGACGCTACTCTGACGCCATTCGTGACGGGACTGATCTGATTTCATGGGGGGCATGCACATCGCATCGGGTTCTGCCGTTCGCTGTTCGCTACGAGTAAGTACAGAGTCTTACGGTACGGTACCATAGTAGGAGGGGTACGTACGCAATGAACATTCCCAGGTTTCGTACTGGTATACGTGCCTCACAGTACAAATTGTACGTTGTGTAGAGGTGTGCCTATCTACGAGTCCCCTCTAGGTTCCACCTTGCACTTTGATGATTATGAAAGAACCTTGTGATGTTCGCACCCTATTCGAGATAAAAATTCTTTTTCGTGTCAACACTTGAAAGGTCATAAAAGATGGCCATGATTGGAATGTCGACGTAAACGCATATGTACACATTGATGTATCCAAACCGTGCATTGCGACAGGCCTCTCAGAACTAATACTGTATATTGCTGATATTATCAACACCAACAGAAGAAGCAACCTAGCCAGGGAGTTGCTTCCAATCTTCGGAGGCATTTGCAAAAACTCCCACACTAGCAGCAAGCTCTCTGCGGTCCCAGCAAGCGATTGAGAGTCGGATTCGGATTTGGCATCGGCACCGACAATTCGTTCCCAGGACATTCGATCGCACAGCATATCATAAAATCGGTTTGAAGGAAACGCTCACCGTTGAAAGACACACCCTCACACAAGAGATAGAAAAACAAAAGACAGGCTGCTACCATGGGAGGAGACGGTGGCGTAATTGCCAGCAACCGAAAGTTTATGAGGGGAGCAGGCACTGCGGACTGCGTTGGGGACCTTCACAGAAAAGCCGCGCAAAAGTTCAATCCGAAGGAAGCCATGTCTACCTGTTCCCTGACCAAGACGCCTCTGCTGGTGCGTGCATCGTCGGGATCGTCGTCGTCGTCGTCGTCCCAGGGCGCGATCGTGGCCGATCCCTATGGCGTTTTGTACCACAAGGAAGCCGCGGTGCGGGCCCTGCTGAAGCGGGCGCAGAAGCGGGGCTACGGCGACGACGCAGGGAACGACGCGTCGATCGGCCCGCAGGTGCGTCGGCTGGCCGATCTGTACGAGGTGCGCTTCCACCTGGACGGAGAGACCCCGGTCTGCCCGATCTCGGGGAAGGCGCTGAACGGGAGCATCCCGGCCCTGCTCTTGGTGCCCGGAAAGCAGGGGGCACCCAACGTGGTGAGTGAGTCGACCCTTTCCCGGCTGAGCCAAGAGGAACTGGAAGCGGAATTCGGTGCGATTGCCAAAAAGGTGCGGCTGGCGCCGGACCCGCTGCTGCTGGAGCAAATCAAGGAGGAGGTCCGAACCGAACAGGAAAAGGACGAGGAGGAACGCTTTCGTGCAAAGAAGGAGAAGAGGAGCAAGAAGGACAAGAGTAGCAAGCGCAAGCGAGGTTCGAAGGAAAGCGGAGAAACGAAGAAAAAGAGAGACAAGGGCAGCGGCCACAAGGAATGTCCTCCTCTTCCATCCGCCACCCACAAAATCTCGTCGTCATCATCGTCGTCGTTGGGCCAACAGGTCCAACAAAAGGTGAATTCAGCCATCCAACAAAACTCAGTCTTGTCCAGTCTTTTTACAAACAAAAACGCGTCCTCCAAGGTCACAGAGAAGGAAAAGAAGGACAACTTGTTTGCGAGATGACAACAAATAGGAAGATTTCTGAGGATGCTGCGGTGCTACTCTACACATGAAGACAGGGACATGATGATGGGACAAGCACGTGGTTCATTCAAACGGAAGAAGCAAGGGCTCGCAGAATCGTTGTACTCTGCACTACAGAACACATGCTGCAATCGAAATCGGTACCGATTCGGGAGGAACCACGTCGACGTCGACGACACGACGCATCGAAATACCAGAGCAAAAGTGATCGCGTTTCGGAATGAAGACATGGAATTTTTGTTGCACACTAAAGAAATTACATTTGCGTCGCATCTGTATATACATTGGCAAAAGAGATATTTCAGCTTATCTGCGGTTCTGAGTTGACTCTGGAAGCGGTTTTGGGTGATCGCAGTTGGTTGTGAAATTTTCATAATCGGCAACCATTCAAAAGGGACTGAGTATCGACTTTTCGTTATTTTTCCGGAAACAATGGATTTCTATTTCGCAAAAGGCCGTAGGAACCTATCATTTGTGGATGTTCGTCGAAAAAGAGAAGAAAATTTTTGTTATTGCGCACGCTTTCAGCAAATATTCGTGCCACCGTTTCGGAGCACACATTTTCCACATGATTCGAAGGGGAAGCAGATAGCTTCCGGCGCAGTAGCACTCGAGCGCACTGCGGATAGTCTATCGTATTGGACGGAGGTTAGGGCGACTACTACGTCTGGGTCGAAGGTTCTTATGCGAAGACGACGAGAATTATATTTATTTCTTCGAAATATTATTTGTGGGTGCCGTTTAATGATCTGTCCATTGAATTTTCCTTGGAGCAGTAAAGCAACGGTGTAATCTGAAGCTCTACATAGGTAGAATTGGTCTGGTCGACCGACCGACCGAGTTCGAACAACGACACTTTCTTCGCCCCTGGACAAACACCACAACCAATAAAAATTCTTTGGAAACGCATGCATGGTAAAATAATCTCCAACCTCGAAATACGACTACAATAATATACTATCTTAGTGTTTTTGAATCGGCCACTGTTTCGGGATCTGCCCAAAAAGATTAGTTCGCTGGCGAGTCGTGCCGATAGTCCTGGATTCGTCGTATTTCGCAGCGTGAAAAGCGATGATGACTTTGTATGTGGTTTGTTTGAATTTGTGCTCTGGTGGACGCATGAGTATTTTACTTGCACTGAGTTCAATCCGACGTCTTTCGTCTGCGGATCAAGTCGTGGCCAAAATACCTTTTCTGTACGATTCAGCCTTCGTTCACGCAACTGGTCCGTCAAACCACTGTGTTGCCGTTGTTCATTTCGGATTGTTTTCTGCTGCCGTCAGTGATAAGAATAATTTCTTTCGGCGTTTGGTTGTGAAGACAATATAATTGGTGTTGAGTAATGCATTTTTTAATATTTTGTAGTTTTTATTCGCATGTAGTTGTAGTGTCTTTTATTATGCAAGGCTCAAGATAGGGGTAGGATGAAATCGAGTTCATGAGAGACACATTGGTCGGCCTGTAACATTGGTGTTGCCTGGTCCTTTGTGTTTGAAAAATCTTAGCAGAGAGTCGGAAGTGAAACGATTTTCGTTTGTTTATGTATTTTTTTTCGGAGTATCGGAAGTTAGAAGAATAGTAGAAGTCGGAGTGGATCGGGATTCGATCTACCCCATTAGTGTGGTGGAGACTGTCAAATGGGTCGTTGGATGGCGGTGACATACTTTTGGACCTGACCAGAGGAGGCAGAAATGGATGCGAGGATTTCTTTCACGCTTCCCACTCGCTCGTATTCCTCTGTCGTTGCCGTTTTCATGGTGAGACAGTTGCGCGTTTCTTGGGATCGCTTCATAGAGGCCTGGAGTTTTTCGAGGGTCGCCTTGTATCGCTCTTCGAGAGGAAGACCAATAGAGTCATCGTCGTCATAATTGTAGTCGTTGGTTTCGATGCTAAGAAGAGGGTCCAAGAAGCCTCCTTGTTCGTGGGTGATGTTTGGATAGTCGACTTCGCTGTCGAAGTAGAGCGCACTGTCAAAGAGTTCTTCCAGTGGCTGGGTGTGAAAGGCAGCACCTGCGTCATCTTGCATATCTTGATCATCTTCTTGGAGTGGATGGTGGTTCATCATCTTGTCGGTTTGCCAATCGGCTTCCGACGAGAACGTCGTCACGCCGTAGGGATCTTCGCCGGTCCCGAACAGCATCTGGTCGTTTTCGGAAGGCCCCCATTCCGTAGGGAATTCAACGGGAGGGAAGTTGTAGCTATTGTTGAAAGACGAGGATTCAGTGTTCATCATTATATGTTTTTTTGTGAGGGTTGTAGGAAGTGAGTTAAGGTGAATCAAAGTAATGAGAAGAGCGGAACAGTACCGGTAGCAAATATCCAATAACAAATATGGTGAGGAGGAAAAAGATTTTTTTTGTGAGAATGGTCTGCCGTGCATTGTTTGTGCATTTTTTGTTCAGGAATGGGGTCGCTCGCAAAGCCTCGTGCGCAGCGGGTTCAAAGCGTTTCGTGCCAGAGCCGGCACGGGCATGCCGCCCATGGTCATGCAGATGGCTGACTTTCTACGGTACAGTACACAGGTAGCTTACTGCGAAATTATGTACGACTACCATCGTACATTTACGTACGACTCGCCGTTGCACATGAGGAGGCAGTTCTAGGTAGCGTAGTAGAATGGCCGGTCATGGATATTATTTTGTTCACGCTCAACGGACATAAAGAAGCTTCGCTTTGAGCGGTATGCACAAGGTGCGTGCCCTAAAATCACACAAGTTCCCTCTACCGGACAGAGGGAAAGGCAATAATGCGGAAAGGGCATATTATTATTTCGTGAAATTTTAAATGTTCCCATGGATGTGAGCTCTCCACCATCTCTTGGTTCAGCTATGTTCAAGGAATATTGATAGCACGAGAAGAACCGCACGATCCAACGAATAAAATTGTTCCGTGGCAATTTCAGAATCACGACGTACGGTGCGATAGTCGCCCTCATATTGGTGATAATTAATAGAAGTAACGTGAATCTATTTGGTACTTGCAGAAGTAACATACGTTGCACGATTGCGTTGAGAATAATTCGTACTTTCTCATATTATCAATGTCTTGTACATATAACTCAAACACGATAGTACGAAGAAACATATATGATACCCCGGTCATTAAGGTATGTTAAGTTCTTTTTCTTTCTTAACAAAAGGTCAGTACGTAAACAAATGTGATCTTCGGTAGTACAGCTAGAGAGCTCGCTTATCGTTCTACATTCTGATTATCATCCCCAATCAAAATCATCAAGCCTTCTCGTTTCCGAAGCATTCCGATAGGTTCCTCAGGGGGATTATTGTGCATAACACGTGCCATGGTTCTAGAGAACTCTAGGTCCAAGAAGAGATTCATTCGGCTACTTGAATTACGCAGAAACATACAGTACATTGCCAAAAATTTGAAAAACGAACCGGTGATGATTCCATAGTAAGAGAGTACGGTACGTACGATACAGTTCGGAACGGCGAAGTAGCAATAAGGCTCCTTCAGTAGTCGTAGGTAATGGATTCCAAATATTTTGGTCGTAATCGTAATCGTAAACTAACAGTATTACTCGTGCTTACCAAAAAAATTAAAAATAATACGGTAGCAATCCTACGGGACGACTTCTAAAGACCTATCCATCTCACACGTGCTCGTAAGAATACGATTATGCGCACCTTCATCGTTTCTTCTCAAATGCAAGTAAGAAGTAGTTTTAATTTAGGGTCAAACGTTTTCTTTTGATAGTTACAGTTGAAGGTAATACCGCATTAATACCTTTTATCGTGCAGGAAAGAAAGTCATTGCCACATGGTCTATCTTCTGCTATTTTTTTCGGAAGTCATCGCCTACTTTTCTCAGCATATTCGATATTTAGTAGAAGTACTACTGTAGCATTTTGGAGAATCGCAACCATCCGTTTCCATCGAAGATTCATTTTTTTCGTTGATAAAACGAAAGGTTCATGGCGCTTTGGACTCTTGATTTTAATGTCAAGTTACTTTGTAACCTTAATTGTCGATAAAAGATTGTACAGCGTACCGTTGAGAAAGATTTCGCCAATGTTCTTTCTTCGCTCAGTTCGGACATATTGTAAATTATAAGTAAAAGTTGGTGATCGCTGTGGTTTTTAATTATTATTTTTCATGCGTCATCAAAAATAGAATACTGATATATCATTGGCCAATAAGACATCAGAAACTCCAATGACATCGGATGCGTCATTCAAGCCCGAGATGAACGGTTGTGGGAAAAGGAATAGATTTCCGATGTTGACAATAAACAATAAACTGTCAAATTTGCAATGATCGTTCATCGTTCATCGTTCATCGTTCACCCGTCATTCAGAGTTGATAGATGGACTGACAACAAAATTCTGCTTGCGTCAGTCATTCCTATTTAGTACCAAGAGCATACGGCAACCGTTAGAACGTTGCTGGCTTGATAAATAACTCTGACCGTTGCGACCAGAACAGCAAAACCAAGGGACAACGTAACGAAGTATACGTGACAACAGCAAGTGGAAAGTGCTACTCCGATTTCTCTTTGCATGTCGAATAACTCCCATGACCAACGAACCACAGGGATCTATCTTCCGCTGCCGAATCCCGACTGCGAAGTTCTGTCGTAAATTCCTTTCGATCGAAAGAGGGCTCTGCCTTTGTTTGATCCGTTGGAATTAGCGGAATATTCTCGATGAAAGTTGGTCTACGTTGATTCCAGGGCAGGGAAGTCGAGTTGGACATAGCATTCAGTCCCGGAGGGATGCACATGGCAAGTACGGTAGGTCCTGCGTCTAATTCACACTCAAAGTGGGACTGATACTCACCTGTGCTGGGGCTCAATCGCAGTCCTATCGTACACCGAGCTCTAGCAGAGTACAATCGATGTCGCGCTCCGACAAAGATGGTACTGTTCGACGAGATCCAGTCGAAGATGCCTTCTGGGAAATTGCCCTGAATCATGATGCCACGGGGAGAGCGGGTGAACTCTTTTCGTTGAGCGACGACGACGACGTTGTCGAAAACGCAAACCAAGACCTACTTGGCGGGAAAGTTACGAAATATTCTCTGCCGAATAGTTCCGTGACATTGGAATTGGCGCAGCTTCCTCCCGAAGACGGAATATGGTCACCCGTTGGTGACCATGCTTGGTATTCTAGCGCTTTGCTGACAAGCCTGATTTTACAAGGTGAAATATCAGTAGCAATGGGAGAAAACAACAATCACGGCAGCACGCAGGCAGAAGAACCGAAATCCATTCGCGTCTTAGAGCTGGGAAGCGGTGCCGTGGGGCTTTCAGGGATATCCTTTGCCGTTGCGCTTTCTCAGCAACCGACACGAGTTCCATCTTGGACCGTGACCCTTACCGACAATGATGCGACACTCCTGAAGCAGCTCGAAGCGAATGTCCAATCCAATATTCGCTCGGGAAAGATTGTCCTTGCGGGTGGCGAGAACAAAACGCCGGGAAACATGCAATCGATTAGAGTCGAACACCTGGATTGGGATCTCGGTGGGAGCAACGGCGGCGACGACAATGGCATCGACAAGAACGATAACAAAGACGTTGCAAACCCTGACGCAAATTCACAGGGAGGGCAACTCCTAGCCGCGGATGTCGTCATCGGAAGCGAGCTTGCCTACACCCATGAAACCGCCACCGCGTTGGTCACTGTGCTGGATGCATTGCTCCGCAAAAATCCATCCGTCCAGATATGGATTGTGCAGGTTACCGATCGATACGGATGGTCCGAAATCGTCGTTCCGGCTCTTGAAGCCAAACCGAACGTCGTCATAGAAAGCGTTCCGCTGTCGTTCGACACGCACGATATGGCGTCGACGATGATACCGATGGGTGGCGCACTGGACCGCTTCGCGTTTGGGGCGTTTCGAATCAGAAACACGCAATGACACCAGAGGAACTAATATCCATCGACCGAGAACTTAACCGCGAGCAAGAATGTAATACACTGGAATGTTGCTCAATAATTTAAACTTAGAAATTACCTCAAACCCACATGTCAATTTCCGCGTTCTATACCGGTACATTACTGTAGTATGTAATATGAACTTTCAGTATAAGTTGACCGAATCCACATTTATTTCCAGAAACTGAAGTTTTGCCTCCTGTTGCTTGTGATGCCTACTAGTCAGCAAGAAGGTCATGCATCTCAATCATATTAATGTGGGGTTTATATAGTAGTTTGCATTGCAGCATGGATATTACTGCACCTAGTAGTATGTCAATTTTTCTTGACAAAGAAAAAAGCTGGTGATTTTGTTGCAGTATGCTAATTATTCTGGTGATACCATTCTTGTGGTGGGAGTTGCTTTTGTAAAGTAGCTTTTTGATACAGTAGCACTAGTAGTAGTAGTAGTAGTAGTAGCTACTACTTCTAGTACTAGTAGTAGTACTACTAATAGTAGTACTAGTAGTATTAAAATTTAATCTTGGTGGTGGTGATGATCTTTTCCTCAGTCCCACATGCATTCATTCTTGCAACAGTTGCACTCTTACACAAATTACGTACTGATGTGAGCCAAATAAAGTGGTGCTACTGTAAGTGCTTAGTAGAAGTAATCTTACCCGATATGCTAATAGCAGTAATTATGAGTACGTACCATAGTACGTATTAGTAGTAATGTACATCTTACCCACGTACGTGCTCGTGTTGGCAATTCGTAATCTTGTGCCGCAACAAAAATATTGGAAATATCGGCGCGTGGCATCAATGACAATTGCCAAAGTAGTGGTAGTCTTTTTACGCGGGAGATTCCAACTACGCGACCAAGAGAATGCATGTCAGCTTATTACGACCAGAACGAGAACGAGTCACTTTTATGGGGAGCACAAGTCCCGGAACACGCGTCCTTCGGTTACAAGAATCTCGATTTCCTATGTAGCCGAAACCGTGACCCCGCCGCCCGAAACTTCGTTCTGGCCAACGTGCCGACGCAATTATCAATGATCGTCTCTCCAATCCAATGTTCCAATCGCTTGGCTAGATTCTTTTTCTAGACATCCAGGATAGATTTTTCCAGGTTCTTTCTACATTCACCTTGGGAAACCGGAGGTCGATAATGTGTCATTGTGCTAACACATTGAACTACCAGTAGCAGCGCAAATTAGAATCCGAACTGCAGGAAAGTATTTGATCCCTAAAGCACGAAGAGAAGGCAAAGTCGAGAGAACAGTTTTTTTGTGATATAACAGCGCAAACTCCAAAGCATTGACAGCATCTTCTTTTCGAGCCAGCAACAAATACGCCAACAAATACAAGACAGCATGGTCTGGAAAGCCGGTTCCCTGAGCCGCCGGGGAAGCAGAGACAGCGATTGCTCCTCCTACTCTTCCCTTCCGGAAAAATCCCCAGCCGAAACCGAGGTCCGAAGGATTGCCTCCAAGATTGGCCTCCCGGAGGACTCGGACCTACTGGCAACCGTCTGCCACAAGATGCGAAAGGAATACGTCGTGGAAGCATGGCAGCTCCCCTCCCTCGATTCGAGGCAGTGGGAGAAAATGAATGCCCCGATCGGGCTGGCGGTGGCGGTTCAGCACCTGTCTAGCCAGCGTCTCCGGGAGCAGTTGCTCCAATGTCGAGAGGAGCAGCAGATCCAGGAGGACATTGACGCGGACATAGAGCGGCAGATTTGTCTCACGCTGCCCTTTCGAGGACGCAACGAGCAGATGGGACGCTCCCATGTTTCCGAGCGGTGCAATCCAAACGGTGACATTTTGGCGTCCCTGAGCTCAACGACGTCCGACTCAAGCGTCGTTTCGGAACGAGGGAAATCGAAGGAAACGATCAATATTTTCACAGAGGCAGAAACGAAAACGGAGTCAGATCTTACCGGCCCCGTGCTTTTGCCCAATGCTGACGAAACATCTAAAGAAATCCCTCGTCTTGCCCCGCCTATGAACCCAAAGCCTTCGTGCACCGGCATTGATACACCACGGGAAGACATCGATGAAGATCCAAAGGAAGACCAGCAAAAGGAAATAAACCAAGGACTCTTTGATTCCGATCATGGTTCCGAAACTGCAGAATTCAGCGAGCCATTCCCAAAGTGGCTGAATCTGTCTACGGTCGCTTCGGGGCAACACGACGAGAAACCACAAAAACTGCTGTCAGACGAGGATTACGGCGAAAAACCCGACGGCAGGTTCAACGCGATTGCATCTCCTACGGAAACCGAGGAAACCAAGAACGGCTCGACCCACGATATTTCTAGTGGCAGCGAGGGTCTCGAAACTAAAGCGTCGCCAAGGAAGCAATTGTCGGTTGTAACACACCGAGAACCAAGCAAGGACGACGTTGAATCGGTCCAGGAAACCTTGGCGTTGAACGCGTCGTCAAAGCCAGTTGGAGACGAGACGAACGCTGAAGAATCGCAAATCATTCCTGGCGACACAATCGAAACACCGAATGAAACGACGGTGCCAGCATTGCCGAGACCTGTCGAAACACAGCCAAATCCAGAACCAGAACACGCCGAAACCGAACCGAGCGAGAACACCGAAACAGACAGCACAACGGTGGATAACACCCGTCTCGCAAGCGACGAGAACCAAGAACCGAAAATTGCATGTCCGCGCTCGAGTGGTTCGCCGCAGGCCAAAGACAAGACCGGGGAAAGAACGCTGGAGAAAACCGACAGTGATTCGGAATCGGAGGACGCTACCAATATCTTTTCGGGGCTGGGGTCGTGCGTGTCCTTTTCAGAGGAGGAGGAGGACGACGTGCTCGCCTTCGTCGTCGAGAGAGAAGCAGCGCAACAAAAATCCCTGCTTGGCCCTATTGCGGAGGAATCCACCAACACCACTCCTGCTGCCGGTAGGTACGAAACAAACGAAAACGCCGCTTCTCCGGTTTCGGGAAGCGACGATGACGAAATCACGGTGGCTGTTTCCAACGTCAGCCAGGCAGCGAAAAAGTCCGGATCGAGGAGGGCAAAAGAAACCTCCAAGAAATATCCCTACGACAACCGAGGCGATCAGAAGATTGATACCAGTGCACTCCAGGTAATTCTTGTCAGGCTGCCCGATGTCGACCACAGATCCATTTTGAGCCAGTTGCTCATCATGGCCAACGCCAAGGACAAGGCTTCTCGCATAACACTGGCATTCCAGATACAGGATCTTCTTCTGGACCTAATGGAAAAACACAAAATGGAAGAAGGGTCTGAAAAGGCGGTGCAGCTGATTTTCCATCTCGCAAGACTCAAGAAGCAATACCGGGTGATCTTTGGCAAGTCTCTCTTCAAAGCCATGTCGGCATTGTACAAAGAGTCGGAAAAACGAAAGGAAAAAAACAGCATTACTAGTGACAAGAAGGAAAAGAAAAAGGTGATCGACCCCGAGCACCTTCCCGAAACAGAAAGCAGAGCACTGGAACAGAATTCACCGAAACCCACCATGGAGCAAGCCAAGATTGGTCACGCGGCCGATGTCCTCTCCGCGATACAATCGCCTACGTAGCCCGAATCCATTTGTCCTCCACCATGTTTGAGTGGCGAGTGGCACAGAATCAAAGTTATAGTATTTGATCGACAGGCGCATCAAATAAGGTTCACAACCGACAGAAGATTCGTTCGCCATGGGAAGTTTTGAGAAGAAACAATGGTACCGAGATCATGTCTCTAGTTAACATCAAAGTAGAACGCGGCATTTGTTCAAAATGACATTACCAGAAATATCCATTTGACCTCCCTAAAGGGAAACGATTGAACTCTTCCGGGCGAAGTAACCCCATGGAGCTATGTGGCAATTCATATTCGTCATTTACTACAAGAGCAATTTTTACAATGTTCTATGTATATCAATTTAGTCAGAAGAAGTCCATACTTCATCATCCGAAAAAATGAATTCGCCGTCTTCGTCGAAGTCGTCTTCGTCCATGAAGTCCCATTCTTCGTCCATAAAACCTTCCAATTCGTCAGAATCCACATCCAAGAAACCTCCTTCATTGAATGGTCTCCACGCGGGTATCTCGTCTTCCTCTTCACTAGGTGGAATGTAATTGCCGTTGTCGTCGTACATAAGGTCCTTCTCCAAAAGTTCCTGCGGAATATATTGATTGTTATAATACGAGTTGAACTCAAAATCATATTTGTCGACCATCACCAAGTCGCCATCTTCAGCACCCCGGAGCTGAAGATCATTTGAAATTCCAATGGCTTCGAGTTGCCGACCGAAGCGAGCAACAGCTTCCGGGTATTCCCAGTGCGTCATTCGTGCAACTTGTTCGATGTACTCCCCCTTCACTCTCCACTGACCGGGATATGCCGGATCGCTTATGATTTCTATGCGTGCGCAGAGCAAGGGAAAAAAATGTAAGTCGTGAGCGAATATGTCTTACGAAAGCGTATGTAGTAGTTCAACGACGTTTATTGCAAATAGATCAGTGAATGCTGTTATGCAACGTACCGTAGTCATCGCTATCATATTCCAGACTGGCTTTGCTGAGATCGACTTCTACGATTGGTGGCAGATCAGCTTCGGGTTGTACTGAGACAAACTTTTTCAATCGTCCCATCAATTCCTTGACATTTTCCGTTGTTGCAGCCGAAATGGGCAATACCCGAGAATGCCCCGCTTTTCGTTTGAGTTCCGATATGATGTCGTCCTCCATTTCCTTAACCTCGGAAATATCGACCTTGTTCACAACCACGACTTGGGGTTTTTCAGCCAAGAAAGGGTCGTGTTTCCTTAATTCTTCGTTGATAGTGATGAAGTCTCCGATGGGATCGTCGGCGCTTCCATCGACAACGTGCAACAGAACCTTGCATCGTTGGACGTGTCTTAGAAAGGCGGGTCCTAGTCCAGCACCCCCCGCAGCCCTTCAATGCAATGACGATAGTTCAAATTTGTAAGAAAAATATTCCACCAATCCGTTCCGGTGTACGAGAACACGACGCTAGCGAAAACAAACATTGTTCGGTGGCTTACCCCTCGATCAAACCCGGAATGTCGCACAAAACCAAGCCGGCACCTTCTTCGCTAATGTCGCAGACCCCTAGATTCGGAACAATGGTTGTAAATGGATAATTGGCAATTTTTGGCCGTGCCGCCGATGCCGCTGCCAGCAAGGTCGATTTGCCCGCGTTCGGTTTTCCCAAAAATCCCACGTCGGCGACCAGCCGCAGCTCGACCGAGAGCCATCGCTGGGCTCCCGGTTCGGCGCGTTCGGCAATCTTGGGTGCGGTGTTGCGGTCGGTCTTAAAAGCCGCATTTCCTCGACCCCCGCGACCACCCTTTGCCACGAGCATTTTTTCTCCGTCTACCTTGAGCTCGCCCGCTAGTTTTTGGGTGTGCAGTTCGCGAACGACGGTTCCCGGTGGCACCGGCATGATAATGTCTTTCCCCTTTTGACCGTGTTTGCCCTTGCCAAGACCGTTTCGGGCTTTACCTGCCCGAATGTGAACTTTGTTTCGCAGCGGCGCCAGCGTATTGACGCTCTCGTCGCACACAAACCAGACGGACCCACCTCTTCCACCGTTGCCTCCGTTCGGTCCTCCCATTGGTTCACCCTTTTCCCGTCGAAACGAAACACATCCATTGCCTCCGTCGCCACCCGTGACGTGAACACGAGCGGTATCAAAGAACTTCCATTCTTGGTCGTCCTTAACTCTGTTCTGGCCCTGTCCGGTCTTGCTGCTGACACCGCGTCGTTTGGCCAACTCCTCCTTTTTTACCCGAATGGCTTCTTCTCGATCGTTGTCATAGACATCGGTCAGGGACGAAAACAACGGGCCCCTTCCTACGACTGGCAGCTTGTGTGAAGCCGTAGGCTGAACTAATGACAAGGACGACCTTGTAAATGCAGATGAACACGAGAACAGTTTTGTCGACAACACTGCGCAGAGGGAGATGATCCAGAAGGAAACGAAAATGTTGAAATCGGTCCCTTTGCTACTACGGCGGTTGTAGCTATGTCGTATCCGATTCATTTTATTGTTGCTTTGTTTTTATCGTGTGCTCAGATCACACTATGATTAAAGTTCTTCTCTGGTAGTATCGCAGATGGAGTAGAATAGAATATTTCAATCGCACATGAAAAAACATTCGGGTCCTCCTCTCCCTCATGAGTAGAATTTGTTTGTGCTCGCGACTTCGTTGTTTTTGTTCTGATGTTTTGATGATGATGTTTTTTTCGACGATTGGTCGATGAAGGAATGGAAACGTTTTTTTAATTTAATTCAGGGGAAATTCAAAAAGGGGAATTCAAATATCAAAATAATTAGTAGTAAAAACAAAAGGATCTAAAAAATATCTTTCGAACACCCTGTGAATCTGGGAAGAACAGAAACCTTGAGATGGAACAAACTATCAAGATCAATAGAGAAGCGGTTACAAGAAGTAGGAGTTGTGAATGCAAAGAGGAATAAGCGACTAGAATAACAACTCCCGGCCTAATTAAACAACATTTGAGCTTATTCGAGTCATAGAGCACTGCATTCTAAAGCGAATACAGTCGATTGCGGGCAATGAGTGCCGTTCTCAGATTTTGGAGCTGCGTTTGGTTCTGTTTCTGTCTGCTCTGCGAATCAATCGAATTCAATGAAAAGAAATTGCACGATCTCTCTAAAAGTTCAGATATCGATGGCAATGGGATCGGCAAAAATAAAGATCCGGTCGCCTTCCAAGAAATCGAAGTTAATTCACTGCTTACAGAGTATTTGGAGTCACCGCTAGGCGTCGACAAGGATGTTCCTCGTGTCTCCTGGCAAATCCAGACCAAAACCAGCGATGACCAAAAGCACGGTTTCACGGCCGATGCTGTTGCGACCGGGAATGTTCGTCGCCAAGTCTTTCAGGATTCATACCAATTGCATGTGTCGACTTCATCAGCGTCGTCGAGGTGGAAGGATTGCGGGTGGGTTGCATCGAACGAGACTAGTTTGGTTCCATTGGAATGCAAGGGTCTGACCCCAATATCCACGAGTGACATGAATGTTTCGTGGAAGGTCTCCGTCAGGCTCGACGATGGCTCGGTGATCGAATCGGCGGTTGCCTTCTTTCGAACGGGTATCTTCGGTCCGTGGGATGCCCAGTGGATCAGCGGGGGTGGTTGGGACAACACCGACGAGAAGGAACGAACTCTTTTCCGCAAGGAATTTTCGGCAGGCGCTTCCAACGCTGGCGCTGTTCCCACCAAAAACCAGCCCGCCCGTCCTCATGCTACATTGTTTGTGGCGGGACTGGGATACAACCACGTCTATTTGAATGGAGTTCGAGTCGGGGATCATGAATTGGATCCTGGATGGACGAACTACACAAAACGGGTATGGTATTCGACTTACGATGTGACGGACCTAGTTCGATTCGCGGATGCCGAGGAAGGGGCTTCGAATGACGATTTCAACGACGACGATACGAACAATGTCGTAGCCGTCATGCTTGGCAATGGCTGGTGGAGTTGCGGGCCACCACCAGGAACGGGACAAGATTACTGCACAAGTGATCCACCACAATTTATTTTGCAGTTGCACATTGACGGACAACCCGTTCTCGTATCCGACGAGACGTGGCTAGCTTCGGCCGATAGCCCGATTCTCTACAACTCCCTATACAACGGAGAAATCTACGACTCCAGGATCGCCAAACGCATTCGAGGTTGGAATACTCTGCACTACGATGACTCTGATTGGGAGGTAGCAACATTAGCAACAAATGATGCAACTATGGCCACCCTGGCCTCCCAGCTCTTCGAGCCTATTCGTCACATATCATCCAGAAGACCAATCTCCATTGTGGTTGCTGGCAAAGGCGACAATCTTACCCAGGTAGTTGATTTTGGTCAGAACCAGGCAGCAGTGGTGCGATTGAAACACTTCGTTTGCCCCGCTGGGACTACGATTGCATTGCGGCATGCGGAACTCATCATGCATCCACCCTACGGGGAATACGACAATGCCACCATTTACGTTGAAAATCTGAGAACCGCGAAACCGAACGACTACTATATTTGTAATGGCGATCCGAAGGGAGAGTCCTACATTCCATCTTTTACACAACACGGTTTCCGGTACGTGGAGATCACTGGTCTAAACTATACACTGGATCCTACAGACGTCGAAGCAGTTGAGCTACACACGGATGTCAAACAAACATCCTTCATTCAGTTTGCCGATCCGTTGCTGAATCAGATCCAACACATGGTGATGTGGGGACTCAAAAGCAATTTTATGAGCGTCCAAACAGATTGCAATCAGCGCGACGAGCGAAAAGGGTGGATGGGAGACGCTGCGTTGACTGCCGAAGCAGCCGTTTTGAGCTACGGAATGGGAGCTTTTTACACTCACTGGCTGGTGAGTACAGGTCTTGGTCTCTCTTCTTTCGTTCATATCTTATTTCTAGGTTGCCTATACCAAGTTTGTACCTCACACGTATTTCTCTTGCCGACTTCCAGATGCAAATGGTTGAGAATCAGAGTCCCGATGATGGTAGTATGCCCAATATAGTACCCCCAATGGGCAGAATAGAAGGTGCTCCCAACTGGCAAACGGCTTATCCGATGATTCTATGGGTCATGATGACGTACTACGGAGATCGTCAGCTCATCTTCCAGCACCACAACTCTTTAGTGAGGTATTTCGACTTTTTGGAGGCAAGCTACAATAAAAATGGTTTGAAAAACTTTCGGACCGGATTCGGAGATTGGGGTACGTTAATATACATCATACAACCTCAAACCTCAAAAAATCAGATAGCATTGTGCTCACAGGATTCAATATATTTGATGTTGTCATTTCTTTCTTGAAAAGTGCCACCATGGCCTCATCCGAAAACCGATCTACACTTCATGGGAGCATTTGCATTTTTGGGAGACCTCAAGCTAGGTATAGATATCTTTCAATACTCAGATCACCCAGATTCTGACACCCAGGTTGAACGCTTGACCAAGCTTCGAGCCCAGTCGTCACCAGACTTTCATGCTGTCTTTTTCAATTTTGCAACGGGTGCATATATGTCTGGGCTCCAGACCGAACAGGCTTTAGCGCTGTACCTCGGCGTGGTTCCCGACGAATTGCAGGATTCTGTGTTGTCCTACCTAATTGATGACATCGAAATCACAAATCACGGACACACAACCAGCGGTATAATTGGTATCAAGTATGCCATGGAGGTTCTTTCGAAACTCGATCGGGGCGATGTAGCACTTGATCTGGCATTGCAAACAACCTATCCGAGCTGGGGTTATATGGTCAAAAGCCAGTTCGAACCTGCCACTACGGTATGGGAACTGTGGGAGTCCGATTTTGCCGCACCGGACATGAACTCTAGAAATCATCATATGTTTGGGAGTATCACGGGTTGGTTCTACAAATATGTGGCTGGCATCCAACCGTTGGATCCTGGGTTTTCTCGCGTCCAAATCAAACCAAATCTTCTTCGTCACGAGAATTTTACGGCAAGCGTATCGACTCCTCGTGGCAAAATTTATCTGAGCTACCTTAAGAAAACTGCCAGCGACAAGAAAAACTCTGTTGTTTTCATTTATGAAATCATATTACCACCATGTACGAGCGGAACAGTCTACTTTCCTATGGCTACGGACGACAAGGAACTTGCTCTCTCTGGCGAGAACAACTATGACTTTTTGATCCGAGAAAGCGAAAATCCAATTTGGCTCGATCAGATGTTTCTCCCTGGTCACGACGGTGTGCTTCATGCTGAGATGGTCGGAAAATACTTGAAGGTAGAAATTTCTAACGGAAGGTTTACTTTCAGCATCACGGTATCAGAAACGGCATCAATCTCAAAGAAATTGAATTGATGAAATGAATTTCCCTATGATCAGTCTACTTTTTTTACTGGCTCAAAATGATATCTACAGGATGCTTTGTAATCGTTGATAATGAATTCAAATTAATCCAGATAGGACCTCGACCGTAACTCATTTGGAAAGGATGAATTCCATTTTTCCATTAATTATTGTCAAGTTGAACTCCGAAAGCTGGCTTGGCTGCAATTGCTGGCTTATGGAAACGATGTGTTTGTCATCATGCAACAGCATCATGCAACAGCGCTTTGATACCTGGTAACTGGATGACTCCCAACATTTCGTTTAGAGGAAATAGGATGTGAAAGAAAGTAAATCATGCCTACTTCTACTTTGAAGTTCTCTTTTTTCAATCAAGTAGCGTTTCCAATCCATCCATTATTTTACCCACCGTCGTTTGCGCCGACCACACAACTAACAGCGCCCCGGTACTGGCTTTTGGATTCGCAAGACCCCATTTGGAGATTCTGACTCCCATTCCGAGGTACGATAAAGGAAACATGTAGGAGTTGAAAGCAGAGGCGGCCATTTCCGCACTTTCCTCTCGAGAAAGAAGGGTATCAGGCGACAGGACTCTGTGCCCCGAAAACTCCATCATGGGTATCCCATACCAGCAAACAAAGACAATGAAGTTCAGAGCCGTACCAATCCTTCCAACCAATTTTTCGCTCTTTTCGAGCGCTTTTTGTCGTTTCCCTGCCAGATCACTGAGATTCTTTTCTTCTGACAGCATTTGTCGTTCCAACTTGGACGTCTCTACAAATGCATGTGGTCCCAAAGCTCTCGATTTTCTGACTCGAATCTCTAGATCTTTTAGTGCGTACTCTCGCTGTCGGATGGAATCTGGTTTGCGCTTGTACTTGACGAGTGAAAGACGGGTACATAATTCGAAGGCAGCTCCAATTAACAAGAGAACGATAATGTCGTGGGGGCGGACAACCCCGATCGGCATCGATGGATGAGGAATGAAGCCCATTTTTAAATAGATAAACTTTCACCTTTATTGCGTTTGCGATAACTTCTGTATCGTTGCCTTCAGTCACTGCACACTACGACTACAGGAATTTTTTTCATGTTGCCTAGCACTCAATCGCTGTTTCTCGAACAGTAATTCAAAAAATGGCCGTTTTTTCACTGCTGCTGCTGTTTTCATCACATACTCATCGGTTGTTATGAAATCGTGACGTTGGCCCCTAGCCCCAAGCGAGAACCCCCAAATTCAAACGGTCCCCATTTCCGAAAAAGAAAATACTTGCTGCCTCCGTTCCACAATATCCTTACGGGGCCCTCCGGTACCCACGCGCACATCCCCCTTTTCGAATTCCTCACCTAGAAAAACGTGGGTAAAGCATAGGTACCCTAACTCATCAGTGAGGAGCTAGTGGAAGTTGTTGCCAGGGATTACTACTACTACTAGTATGAAAATGTCAAGGAACGGTTGCAGAAGTTGTAATGTTGCTGTATGCAAAGAGCATTGGAGCAACTTCAACCATCAGGTGTAGTGATGTGTTTTAAATGAATAGTAAAATTATTTATACTATATTTATTAACATATATTTTTAATCTTATTTTTCATAGTGATGGGAGGGATTTGTGAAGTACAGTAATGTAGTGGTAGCAAAGAAAGAGTTTTTTTCTAAATTTTGCGGGTGGCAACATTGTGCAACACGCAACTTGTTTTCAAGTTTACGAAACCACAATTATTTATGTTTTCTAAGGTCAATCATGTTGAAAACTCGAAAAAGTGCCTGTGCCATGTCTATTTTAAATTAGCAAAACCTGAGAATTATGAATCTTAGTCATCGCTTTGGTCTGTCGTCACTGCATCTCTTACGGCGGGTCTGCTATGTCGGGACCCTGGCGCTTCTGTTGCCGGTTATTTCTATCTCTACCTTGTTCGTTGTATCTACTTCTATCATAATCGTTGCTAACGTTGTACTGCCTTTCGTTCATGGAAGGCCGAGGACCTCTATCTCTATCTTGATGTTGTTTGCTTCTATCTCTGTCTCGATTGTGGTATCTACGTCTATCATGATCGTTGCTGGCGTTGTACTGCCGTTCATACCTAAAACTCTGCGGGCCTCTCCCCCGCTGGTTTTGTGATCTAAGTTTTTTTGCGGGTCTTGGATTTCTTTCTCCGTTGTAATTTTGTCTCTGAGCGGACGAAAAATGCCCTTTATCATTACGGAGGTATTCTTTTTGAATCAAACGATACGTGGTCAATACATACCGAAACGATGGTTTATATCGTCCGTTGCCATTGCGACCAGATCCCGGCGAAGCAATCGAAACCAGGTGCTCTTCTACATTTTTTTTCTTTTGACCAGTATCTCGTGCGGGTTTGAAGAAGCTACCTGGTATCATCGTTGCAACGCGCTCGCGGCAATCTGCTATGGAATTCGAAGGAATAAATCTGCCTTCGGTTCCTAATCGATGCAAATTTCTCTTCAGAAGACTTTCCAAAGACAACCAAGGTAGTGTCAACATAGTGGACTCATTCTTTGAGCTGTCATCGTCTGTTCCCTTGCTGCATTCTGGATGACAAAGAACAAATCGAACCGGCCGTCTAGTTTGGTGACAGATTTCTAATGCTTGCTCGTAATCCCTAGGTTTTGCATTGGTATTACCCCTGCGATATGAGGACGAGGAGCGAGCAACGAAAGATCAGTTGGCGATGGATGATCGTCGGCGAAGAATTGAGACAATCTTATCCTTCATAACGAACAATTGTTCGTTATTGGCTCTCGGAATACTTACCATGCAACTGGTATGTGTTTGGGTGTCTTTCGAAGTTCTTCGTACGCCTTCTGGATAGCGCTTTGGCGCGTTTCGGGATGAGATTTGAAAAGTGATTCCAAGACAAACACATCGACTTCTCTCGGAAGCTCTGGGTTTGTCGACAAGAAGTCTTCTACTGTTGCAATCAATGCATCGGCAACACTTGTCTTGAGGTTTCGTTCCTGGTAGTAGCTCCGGATCCTACGATCGAAGTCCGATGCCGACGAATCACCGTTCCATCGGCGAAGAATGAGAATTAATTCAATGTTCTCCCGAATCCTTTCCAATAGTGTTTTCCCCTGGTACACTTGATGAAGGATTGATTCTGGTTCCTCAAGGCTACCTCTGTTATCTTTCTCGTCGTATGCGCGTAAAAATAGTTCAGTAGATATGGGAACATATACATCCCTTTGATCGTCCAAGCAAATATCCTTGATCTTGCCTCCCTCGTGATCCCTTAGAAAGGAAGATTTTCCGCAGCACTGGGGTCCTGAAACGTTACAGAAACAATAATATGAGTTACTCATTCTGTGGCCATCTCGGTAGTCGTATCTAACGTCAAACACTTTTCAATTGAAGATCTTTCTCTCAGATATGGGTTGGTGATAAGGTCCGTTACGACCATGGTCCACAACGTGTATAGTTATTTACAGCAGCCAAGATCCAACTTACGATTCCTTTCGGAACCACAAAACCGCATTTCGCAATGTGGGGACTTGACCATTCGGGAACTCTTTCGATCATCATGGAGAATGCCTTCTTACGAAATTGATACCACGGACGAGAAATCGTAATTATCTAGCGCGGGTCAACTTACCTACCGTAATGTACATCGGTGCTGCACTCGATGTTGGTTCTCCCCGTTTCGAGCTTCTTTGCTGCGGTTTTTGCTCCTTATCAGCATCGTCTTGACGAGAGGCCATATTCATGGAGAAGATAAAATGGTGTGGTGAAGCACACGGCACGAATCGAGACGAAGGGAAGTTGTGTGTGAAGGCTTCGACGGGGTAGTGACAACGCGAAATGAGCGTCGCCAACAGGGCAATGCCAATGATGAGCCTATGCAAGGCAGCAGCGGGGTCAAATAGAATTGTATCTCTAGTTAGTCTATGTCTCCAAACAAACATTACTAGGATCGTTTGCAGAAACACAACTAATTGTGTTCAAACTATCCTGCCACTGCGGAACAAGAATGCATCGTTTCAGTGCGTGAGCAACCTGTACGACGATGTCATGTTTGAAAATTTATGAGCTCTATTCTGTCTTGCAATTTTCAACAGAAGCGATGATTTGAAATTCTGATGGCTGATGGCCTTTTTACAGATTTTACAGATGGCTGAAAGCGGTTGGTTGATAGCTGACGGCTGACTTCCTGACTGCCGTCCAAAAGGACTATCTGCATTAGTATCTTTAGTGCCTGAGATAAATATCTATGAATAGTAAATACAAATTAAAATTTGAATTTGATGTTCAGTCGTTTTCCACTCGGGACTGAGAGAATTAGGGTTAAAAAGCCGACATTTTGAAAAGCAAGTACTTGTACGTACGGTGCCGTACGTAACGCAAGAACAACAACAACGGGATGAATGACATGATATTCGACTTACTGTAGGTTGTCTGAACCCATTGCGGTATCATCGCAGTCTGTTTGACCATTGTTCGCGCAATAACCTTACCAATACACCAGTACAACACAGCGATATGAGTCGGGCACCTGCGAACATTTTGGACCGCCCTTTGGGTGGTAGAGGATCCCGGTGAGTCGCATGGGATGGTGCAGTGCAAACGAGTTCCCAGATCTGCGATCGATTCGAAAATATACTTGCGAGAACAAAGCCTGGGGCGACACATTGCATCGACAATCGTCTCATTTTTAATCCTTTATTTTCTTATCATTACTCCAAATCTTTCTTGTATGAATGGTGTTGTCGTTGCTTACGCTATTGTTGAACCATGCAGTGCCGACGTTCAGATATCTCTTTCGTCATTTGCCTATCTGTATTCGGAACTAGGTGAGGAGACTGAAAAAAAGTCGAGAGAATTAGATTTTTCTGGTTTGATACTGATCCGTTCTTCTTCGTGACCATTGTCAACCGATGTTTATTGTTTTCCTTCTGTACTTTCCTACGCGCTCAGTTCAATACCATCAAAACCGTGTGGATAGCATATCGGAGCTTGAGCGGCGATTGGAATCCTCCGGATATGGGGTTGGTTTGAAAATGCTAGAACTCATATCATATCGAAATCGCGAGGTAAGTAGCATATGTGATGGAGACGTTTTCCGCCTATCTTGTGCTATTTCTATGTTTGACAAAATATATACTGTAAGTGGCAACATGCTCATCATTCTCTTTTTTTTGGCATTTGTTGTCGATCTACAAAATGTTAAATTTAAACTCAAATAATGATGCAATGATATGCATCGGTTTCACGAAAACATATGCAGCACAAACGAGAAACCAGACTCATGAACGTATTGCATTTTGTCTCGACCCAGGTGTGGAGGGCTCTTTTTGGGAAACCAGCAGACTCATTGGAGCGAAGCGTAGAAAATGCCGACGAATTCATGATTATCGATAACGATCCTCTCACCTCGACTTTCTGTAGCGTCCCAGCAGATTTTGGACAACTGAGGTACGTACCATTCTCATCATCAGTTATCTCTTCCCTTGTGTTGGTTTCATTGAAACAAAGTTGTTGCATATCTCATTTGGTCTTCTGCTCTCACCGACGACTTGTGTGTTTCCTCTTTATATGCAGTGTTGATGCCTATATGTCGGGCATTGTGGCGGGGGTCTTGACGGGAGCGGGGTTCTCAGCACGGGTGACAGCCCACAGTGTAGCATTGGAAGAAGGGGAGCGCAGCAATTTGAACAGCTCGTTGCCTCCTCGAAAGGACAAGGCTGTCTTTTTGGTGAAATTTGCACCGGAAGTTTTAGAACGAGATGCTGCGATGGACAGGTGATGACGCGATGTTTGCGATGTGCTGGACGAGCACAAATAGAAGCTCGAGTCTATTATTACAACAATATCACATTGATGTATATATTCTTGTACGATAAGAAACTAGTTGATTGTGATTATTAGTATCGCCGTATCGAAATACTCCCAAGTGTTTCTTGTTGGACTTTGCTTTGTTCTCGAATCGCTTCATATCAATCGGAATTGTAGCAAAATTTTGATGATAAAGTTGTGACTGATCGTACGGTACGAGAATTTCCATCGTTACTAAACGAATGATGCAGCAACATCCGCTTGATCGCTGATCTTTTTCTGATCCTCGCAAACAGTAAGAATATTATTCTCTTATCGTTAAATTATAATACATGAAATTATTAAATCCTTTTAGTGTCTGTGCCTATTTGAATAGAGCGTGTACAAGTTGTTCGGTTTCGGACGAGCAAATTGGCAATTTACAAACGAAAAACCAAAATTATTGCTCTGACCAATGTCTTGTGAATGGAACTCGTGCACAACAGCGTACCGATGCGCAGCCAGGAGAAATGAAAAATTCCGCACAGCTACAAACGCACGCACACAAATATCTCTGCCCCTTGATCTCTGTTTGTAAGTTATGTTAGCGCTTCGGCATGAGATTCTTAAATGCATCCGGGAAGCACGACATCCACCATTCCTTGTACCAGACGTCGTCGTCTTCCTCCATTATCATGCCATCTTTTGTAAAATATTTCTTAGTTGGAAGGGGAGGTGTTCCGGGATCCGAGGGTGGCGACTTAACAGGGGTCGATTTCGTTGACGAAGTGGGAGAATGAGAGTAGTTGCGACGATCCTTCTGCTCCGGTGTTCCGTAACTTCTGTTGCCGACACTGTTGTTGCTGCTTCTGCTCTGAGTGTTGGTGCTGTTTCGTTTCGCCGCCTTGTCCTTTCCTAGAACGACCTTGTTTCCCTTGGTCTTTTTCACAATAGCTGGAGCTGCAGGGGCAAAGAGAAGATTTAGATTTTCATCTTCAATAGTGCTTCCACCGTCGAAACCGAAGCTGTCGCTAGGTTGGCTGCGAAGAGAGGAAAGAAAAAGCAACATGTGCCTCATTGTGAGATCAAAATCACAGCCGGATTTCGACGAGAAAGTTCACAAGTCTCAATCCAGAAGAATGCATACACGATTCAGTCAACTTACCCTGCAATTGTTTGCAGGAGCTTTGTCCCTTCTAGAGCCGATTCTCCGTCGGTTGAATAAGCCAGAGAAGAGGTAACGGAAGTTCCTGATGTCGCCCAGCCACGTTTCTTTTGCAGCTCATCTACCGAACTATATCCTTCCTTTTTGATAAATTCCTTCAGCTGTTTTTCGTCCTGCAAGTCCAAGACTCTCATGATATCGGCAAAACTGCTGTCGGTCGACTCCCCGGCAGCCGAGCCTCCGGACTGAACCGAAGAGGTCGCCGAATACGTCAGGGAACCGGCTCCATCCGTGTTGTCAGTATCCTCGCTGTATGTTCTACGGTGACCGTTGCGATTTCCTCCCCCCTTGTTCTTTCTTCCGCGTCCCCCGATCACATTTTGCGCCTGAGCCGCGAAGGCAAACTGAGTCTTTTTTGTCATTGCTGCAGTTATGTTGTCTGGGGATCGTTGTTGTTTCCGCTACTACTGTTTCTGCAGTCGTCGATAATAAGATCTTGGGATCCCGATGTAAAAATCCGAAAAAATTGTTGACTAGTGTTTTGTATTGTAAAAATTCTTCGCTGGATGTTTTCAGAAACGGACTATTTTTGTTTCAACTGAAGAAATCAATGAAGTATCAAAAAATTCTACCCAAGTATTGAGTTCCGACAATTCTAATCTACACTCTGTTAGACACAAAGCTTTGTTGTTGTAATTTTTGATGTTGATAAGACCACTGGGTCTTCCTGTGCTCTGAACCACAAGCTCTACACTTTTCCAACAGGTCTTGGTTGAGTGTATTCCGTATGCAAGCGTTCCGGAGAAGTTAGTATTGTTGTTAATTGTCAATGCTGACAAACTGATCTATCCGCCACTTCAATGCGTCTTGTAACACGACGTGCTATTTTTTTGGGGGGACAAAATGCGTAACATGTGTGCGAGTATTAATAGACCAATTGACAATCACAATCCCTTAATAAACCGACGACATGCTCGGTAACCTTTGTTAGATATGCGTTGGGTTTGATAATGTTGTGTGCGCTTTCGCGTATACTCCGAGTGGTTGGACCATACAACAAGAATTTTACCTTGGGTGCGTAGACACAACAAACCCAAATATATGTGAATCTTAAAATGCGCAAGAGCAACATTTAAGGGATATATCGGAGTATAAACGGTAATAACTGTAATAACTGTATCACCTTCCGCCGATTTCTGGAAATCATGGAAGTCGAAACATTAAAAAAAAAGACTAAAACAGTTTTGACTTTAACTAATCATCTTTTGAGTCGTAAAGCTGGTAGGGTTTTGAAATATGAAACATCTTAAAACAATAAAGTTATGGGAATGAGATGCCAGCTTAAATACTGGTGACATGCAACTAAATTGAAAATACAGTGCTGACACCTTTGTCTTCCACTGCCACCAAAGCAGACCACCAAGAATAACAACAAAAATACCAGGTACTTTGGTGCAACAAAGCAACAAGAATGCTTCTCCTCAATCTTAGTAGTGCTAGTAACAGAACATCAGATTGTTTTGTTCTTCTTCTTGTTCCTCTTGTTGCAGTAGTTTCTTCTTAGTTCTGTGGTGTCACTGTTGGATGCTCTCCGACTACACTAGTACCAGCACTCCTAGTAGTAGCTAGTACTAGTGGTTCAAGAAGAAGAAGAAGAACCTCCTCAACAAGAAAAGCAGCAGAACAACAACAACAACAACAACAACAACAACAACAACAACAACAACAACAACAACAACAACATAATGATGACTTGTAAAACAACTGTAAACAACTGTGTACTACTAGTACTAGTACTACTATCTGAACAATATAAATTAAATAAATTATTAACAGAGCATAGCTAACAATTCTTGTATTATCTTCTTCTTCTTGTCTCTGGTGAAATTCAAGTTGATAATCATAAGTAGTACCTAGTACTAGTAGTACCATTAAGTATTAATGATAATATTATTTGTTTGCTTGAATAGTACATCAGGGACGTTGGGAAACAACTCATAACCAGATACTTAAAGCTACTGGACCTACAGCCCAGCTACTGAGACACGTGCCTCCTCATAAAATCGTGTACTTTAAGGTAGTGGACCTACGTCTCAGCTACTGATTCACATTCCTGCTGATGTATAAGCCAACCTGAGAACCGAAGAATATAGTAGCGTTAAGTAGCATAAAATTGAATTTTTTAAGTCGATTAAAAGCTACTTTTAAGTAGCTTTAAAGCTACTTTTAAGCAGCTTAAAAGCGACTTTAAAGTAGCTTTAAAGCTACTTTTAAGCTACTTTAAAGTAGCTTTTCGGTAGCCGTTGGATTTATATATATATAAACATTAATTTATAATAATAAATGAATATTGAAAATAATCAGATATAAATATATATAATAATCATAGGTAGTCCCACGATTGAAAATAATTAACGGAAAGACAATCGACGCTCCGAGGTATAATATCTATGCCCTTGATTAATTTTTTTCATTAATAAATATATATACTGGTAATCCAACGGCTACCGAAAAGCTACTTTAAAGCGACTTTTAAGTAGCTTAAAAGTAGCTTTAAAGCCACTTTTAAGCTACTTTAAAGCAGCTTAAAAGCTACTTTTGAGCTACTTTAAAGTAGCTTTAAAGCAGCTTTAAAGCTACTTTTAAGTAGCATAGAAGTAGCTTCAAGTCGGTTTTAAGCTACTTAAGCTACCTTCAAGCTACTCTGTGTAGATATCAGTAGTAGGCACGTGAGCCGTAGGTCCAGTAGCCTCAAGTATCCAGTTACGAGTCGAGTCGTACGTGACTCAGTAGCTTCGCCGTACGTCCAGTAGCTTAAAGTATCTGGTTATGAGTCGTTTCCCAACGTCCCTGCCAAGAGCAAGACCTCATAAGCTCTGTTGCTACAGAATCATGGAAGTCAAATAGAATAAAAAAGTACAAAAATAGTTGTTATTCAACTGGAATTGTCCTTCTGGAATAAGGGAGTTCTTTGAGGGTCGGAAAAATGTAAAAACATGGTATCAACAAATCATGGAAGTCAAAACATTAAAAAAGACTACGACAGTTTTGAGGACTGCAATTGGTTCCCGAAGGGGATGGGGGTCTGGGGGGTGGATTTTCAAGAAACTACTACTCAGTTGGCTGTTTTCAGTCATACTAGGAGAGCTGGTAGGGTTTTGTTGAACTCCTGTAAGAAACATCGTAAAACAATAAAGTTACGGGAATGAGATGTCAGCTTAAATGCTGGTGGCATGCGACTAAATTGAAAATAAATTCGACTTGCACTGCCACCGAAGCAGACCAATTTTTAATGTAGAGCATGTACTACTAGGTTGAACGCCTTTTTTTCTGCAGAAATTATGAAGTTACAGAAATGAGGAGATGGTGGTGGCACAGATGAGTTTGCTGATGTGCTATTCAATGGGTCATTCCCGATAACATATATCTGTGTAAAAATGAGACCGGCCGGCTCGAAAAAATATGTAAATTACATATTTTTTGGTAGTCGTAGGCCCACGACTACCAAAAAATATGTCATTTACATATTTTTTATTTGGAATCCTTGACTTAACCATATCCAGTCTCGTTTAGTRAAAATCCCAAAGTTCCTGGCACTTTGGAATTTTGTGAAATTGCATGCAATTTATACAGGATTCCAAATTCCGAAAATGGGGGGAAAATATGTAAGTGAAAATCCCAAAGTTCCCGGTACTTTGGAATTTTGTGAAATTGCATGCAATTTATACAGGATTCCAAATTCCGAAAATGGGGGGAAAATATGTAAGTTGAGCTGTCTGTCTGTGTCTTCTGTACCACTGAAACGTATTCCCGAAACCCAATATGCTATTCAAAATTTGACTTCCACTTGCAGCGCACCGCAAAAGACTAATTCCTACCGTATCTATCGTACCGGTAAGATACTCGTACCGCAGAGTAGAAACTTTACCTCACACTCAGTACCACATTCCAAGTTTTGTAACGTACTACGAGTACTCGGCAGGACAGTGGCAAAGTTATTGCAACGAGAGCAAAACATGGCGTTGTTATGTTGGAGTAGTCGATTCGTATGGCGATGGCATGCTCAAGTTCTTATGGCAACGTCTCTAGCAGCGATCCTGGTGCTATCCTTGGTGTCATCGAGCAACGCGGACAATGTGGGAACATTTGATCTGGTTGGCTTGATCGCAGACCTTCCCACGAAACAATTTTACATCAATGGTACCTGGGTGGAACCAGCTCCGCCATCCTCCGAAACTTTCAAGCGCTTCATCAATGTTGTGGATCCATCCACAGCAGAAACTGCAGCAAAAGTAGCCATTGCAGGTCCCGAAGACGTCGACGCCGCCGTCAAAGCAGCTAAAGAGGCCTGGCTCGAGTGGTCGTACCACACGCCACTGAACGAACGAAAGAGATACGTGCAAAAGCTCGCCCGAATCTACGCTTCCAAAATCGAGGAAATGGCACAGCTGATCAGCACGGAAATGGGAAGTCCTATCGAAGCCGCTCGCGAGAGCCATGCCTGGGGCGGACTGAGCAACATAGAAAGCTCGTTGGAGCTTATAGACGAATTCGAATTCGAAAAACCCCTTGGGGACGATGAGTTAACTACAATTCTCTACGAGTCCATCGGCGTGGTGGGAATGATCACGCCCTGGAACTGGCCGTTGAATCAAATTACTCTCAAGGTGGTACCCGCTTTGCTAGTGGGATGCACTTGCGTTCTCAAACCCTCCGAAGAATCTCCGCTTTCGGCCCTTTTGTTTGCGGAGATGGTTCACCAAGCGGGATTTCCGCCCGGTGTTTTCAACCTGGTCAACGGGGATGGCCCCTTTACGGGAGATTCCCTGACGAAGCATCCCGATCTCGATATGATCTCTTTTACTGGGTCGACGCGTGCCGGAAGACAAGTTGCGGTCAACGCGGCACTGGGGCCGATCAAAACCACCCTTGAGCTCGGTGGAAAGGGCGCCAACATTTTCTTTGCCGACGTGGGCGACGAATGGATGGAAGAAGTTGTCGTCAATGGAGTGGAGAGTGTCTTTTACAATTCTGGACAAACCTGCAATGCGCCCACCCGCATGCTTGTTCAGCAGCCTTTTTACAACATGGCGGTAGAGCTGGCAACAAACATTGCCAAAACCAATAGCCCCGTCGACTCGGCCCACGAGGACGGAGACGAGCACATTGGACCGGTGGTGAGTCGGAACCAATTCGAACGAATCCAGGAGTACATCCAGATCGGGATCGACGAAGGTGCGAGGCTGGTTGCCGGCGGGCTCGGACGTCCCGAACACCTCGCTAACCACCCGAGCAAAAAGAATGGGTACTACGTTCGCCCCACGGTCTTTGCAGACTGCAAACCTTCAATGACCATAATGCAAGAAGAGATCTTTGGTCCCGTCTTGTGCATAGTACCTTTTACCACGGAAGACGAAGCGCTGCAACTGGCCAACGACACACCCTACGGACTGACCAACTACGTTCATTCTCGTAATTTCAATCGCCGCCGCCGCATGGGACGCCTCCTTCGCTCGGGTATGGTCGAAATGAACGATGCCGCTGGGGACCACGGAAGTCCATTCGGCGGAGTCAAGGGAAGCGGGTATGGTCGAGAGGGCGGAATATTTGGCTTCGAAGAATTCTGCATCATCAAGGCATTGACGGGCTTCATCCCCGGAGAAGACGATTTGTTCTTCGACCAGGAGTTGGAAACATCGGCTGGGACCGAGGAAGCTGAGTTATAGACTACTTTGAAAGCTTCTACTGTACTTCACCCATCCAAAGAATTTTTCTATCAATTCATCACAAATGTGACAATATCATGATTTTGCAGGATACCACTTGTATCGATGACCATATCGAACAAACCATGGAGTCCAACCATTGAAAACTTTTGTAGTAAAACATTTCCATGATATTATTGGTGTATATTAAAAGTAGTATATCTAAACCGTCATCCGCCATCGTAGTCCCTTCGCAGATTTGAAGCAAAATCGGATGAAACAACAACGACACGACTTTTTCTTTGTTTAGCAAAGTGTGTTCTATTGAGTTTATTCTTCTCGTTATCTTTTGCTTACTCATCAGGGAACATGATGCTACGGATCGACGGAAGCAGCTCTTCGTAAACAAGTTCTAGACGAGCGCTCATGGTGTTATCGCATACAATCTTTCCGTTCAGGGCGGTCATCACAATTCCCCCGTGAGAACTTTCTGGCAAGTTTTTGTCAGCGTCGGCGTTCATGGTAACATTGGGACTCAATGTGACGCCGGATTCTCTCTTCATGATTTCAACGTATTCCTTAATTGCGTCGGGGAGAACGCCCTTCACGGTGTCGACATCTTCTGTGCGGCAGTAAATTTCAGTGTTGTTTTCCTCAATCTTGATCAAACATTGTACGATGAGTTTTTGCAACAATTGGGGGTAGTTGGCTCCTCGAGCGACTACTGCGCACTTGGCTCCTCCCTCAGCGAGAAGCTTGTTCAAGAGTTCGTCACGGAGTTGCATCTTCTTTACACGGCAGGCACCAATCTCGGACGATCGGGCGATGCGCTCTTGAATTTCGTGCTGCTTCTCCTTCTTTGCAAAGTCATCTTGGATGGAAAGTTTAGCCTCATGAACCAAAGTCTGCTTTTCAAGGTTAAAGTCGTGTTCCGTCTATTTTTGTTTGAGATAGGAGAAAAACCCATGGAAGAGGGATAACGAAGAAAAGTGTAAGAAAGTGTTATTTTTAAACGTAATTTCGACGAAAAGAAAAAACGGCTGCAAAAATGAGGCATTGAGCACGCTTCGCCGGATTTTGCGCGGGCACGACCGTTAACGGATAGATTGATCGATAGTCACCAGGAACTCTTCGGCGGAGACGTTGTTGTTAGAGGGGTACAGGAGCAGATTTGGGCAGGCTTCATGGAATGGAACCGTCTCAACAAAGCTATTTAATCGCCGCAAAACCGAATGTATCGTCTGCCTTCAATCGTCCCGCAATACCGACCGGAAAGCTTCTTTCTGATGCTATAAGATCCGTTGTACGATGTCAGGCACACACCTTAACACGAATTTCATTGGCCTTTTCGTGTGCCTCTTGGAGGATGAAATTGACCATCTGTCGGATTTGATCGCTTGCCATGGTTGTAGTTTACTTGGTTCAATATACGGTAATGTGTTACAGGGAGAGCTGACTAAATATGATTGACGATGGAAAATCGTAGATGCCTTGATTCTAGTGAAAGAGACACACCCTCCCGCAGCGATATCTTCAGACACGAAACGGCGAAGATCACTCCCTGAAACAAGTACGAGGACGACGAGCACCGAACGGTCCGACTGAGATTGTATCGTACGCTGAGGATCACTTTCGTTGCTTCAAGGTTATATCGCTTATGTACGTGCAGGCTCGACAAGTGCGACCATAAAACGAGCACAACGTCTTCGTTTCTCCTCTCTTCAGGAATTTTTCGGAAGAAAAGTGCAAAAGTGCCCACTTTATTTTTGGTACCCCAAATTTACCCCTTATTATTTATATATATATACATGTACGTATCTAAATATAATTTTTCGCCAAGTACGGTCAACCAATTACTCGGGGCTCTGATAGTAAACGCGTCGTGATCGGACCGTTGGGAAGCCGATGCGTGGTTCCTGCCGTCTTTTGAGATTTTAAACGCAGTTTTGTACGCTCTTGCCTCTCCTTCCCCCGTTAATGCGGTCAAAAGGTTACGAGTAGCACCGTTACTCGTATGTACCGGTATATCCCCGAAAATAACGTTAAGAAAGAGCCAACTGAATTTTAATACGAGCAGCGGAAGTGCCGTCATTGCGTTCAAAAATAGCCTCGTGCAGAGCATTGAATTGAAAATTCACTCTGAAGTGTCGCCTGGCTCTGCTGCGTTTAGCCAAGACAAGAAGGATACAAGCAACGATACAACACCTTTTAAGACTGACTATCGCTCTGCGACAGCCATTGCACTTGAAGAGGATTGATCGACAACTACACGGTAGTAAGGATCCCGTTGCAACTTGTTTCGGAACGACAAAGAACTGGTTTGAATAGAACGGAAATCGTTGTTTGGTAGTAGTACTTTATCCTCGACGAGTTGTTAAGACACGGACGCCTCTAAACCCAAACCGAAAGCCTCTACGCCAAAGGCGCTCCAGTTCCCTAATTAGTCTATATCTGTAAAATATACATACGCAACAAGATGACTCGACCGACGGGACCGCTTGGGATAGATCCCTTGGCATTTACTTTTTCACTGTTTGGCTTATTATTACTATTTGTACTGTATCTGATTTTGCCGAGAGGCCTGCGAAAACAATACTTTGGAGCCTACCCTAAACGACATGCATGGTCAGCTCGATCAAGAATGAGAAGAAATCGAGGCTATGGAGATGTAAGTACATTATCAAAACCACGTGTCCACTGTTTGCAAATCTCTTCTGCTTCAGCTGTTTTGCATTTTTGCTGATCCAACTCAACTCAACGCCTATTTCATGTGGATTCTACGCAGCATTCCTTGGGAGGTGGATCAATAACTGGAGCTTCGTCAGTTGCCACTGGAACTACATTTGGAACACACGGGCATCCCGGATCTCACCGTCAGCTACAAGGAATGGGGTTGGGAGCCAGTCACTCCGTTGCCGGATCTACAATTGGAGGAACCACAGCGTACTCAAACATGACCGGACGACGTGGATTCGACGAGGAACAGGTTGTGTTTGGTGGTGGCGCAGCAGGTGCAGCTGGAACAAACCAAATGTTAGACATACAGCAGAACGAAGAAATTGTTATTTCGGCAGCTATGCAACAACTTCGAGATCCCGGTGTCCTGATCGTCGCCCACGGCAGTAGGGGGAAACCCAAGACGGTTCGCCTACAACTTACAGAAAGTGCTGTAACCTGGAGAACAGAGACACGAAAGAAGGGAGTTGCGAAGGATGCCAAGCCAAAAATGGGAAAACTGCATCAAGTTCCACTCAGTCATATCATGTACGTCGATGTTGGAAAACAGACGACAGCATTGCGACGAGTCGAGAACGCGAGTGTGAACGACGCACTTTGCTTTTCGCTTCTTACCAAAGAAGGGTCCCTGGATCTAGAAGCGAATAGCCCTCGTGAACGTGATGCACTTGTTAGTTGCTTTTCATTGGTATTGGATGAGGTCCATGCCCAGAACTGGAGAGATATATACCGAGGTCCCAGTTCGGATATGCCGAGCTCGTTTGACGAGATCGATCAACAGCAGCAGCAGCAACAGCCCCAGGGGACGCAAGGGCAAAGGCAACACGATCCGACAGCCGGCCGTGGCCACCCATAAATGGATGGCTATTGATGGAATCATCGGCTACATCGTTCTTTTCACCTTTGGTGAACGCACACATAACTACATATCAGTGACTTGGCAGGTCCTAAACTCACGGTTCAAACAAATAAACTCCAGTTACTGGCGCCGTCACATCAAACCACAAATCAGTGCTCGATACATTGCGATACACTGACCCAATAACCAAACAGTTGTTTCGACTAGTCTGCAGTTGTTTCCATTTTGTTATTATAATATTATCATTGATTACATCACGCACCATTCTCTGTGGTGGTGTCTTCTATATTAGTGCTGTAAACTAAATTGGGATGTCGCTTGAGCTTGCGCGAAAATCAGTCTCCGATATCCATCATCCTGCCGGGATCCTAATGTCGACATGCAAGAATGTATTGTTTTTGTGAGTTGGTCGATATCAATGAAGTGTCTTGATCAGCTGCAACGCATTCATGTACGCCATTGACGACGCTTTCTGTTTCTGTTTGTTGACAAACGCCAACGAGAGTCCTTTCTCTCTGGCTTGCACGTCTTGTGCCTTTTGACCTCTTGGAGTTGCGCTGCTGCTGTCGATATTGCTACTCTTGCTGCTGATACTGTCATTGCAACCAATGCTGCTTTTGCTTCTCTTTGTGGCGATACGCATCGCATCGATTTCCCCGACTTTACACGCCTGATTAGCACCAAGACGGGTCTTGTTGAGAATTTGTAGTAGCGTTGGCCGCTGCTCCAAAAAATAACCTTCTGCAGTATTGTTCGCCGTGAGCAGGAGGCTGCTTGTTCCCTTGCTGAGAAGGGGAGGTATGCCACCTTGAGCAGTGGTCCCGGGAAAAGCAGACACCGCTCTAGATTGTTGGGGACTACCTTCTAGAAATGAGGTTGGTGGTGGCGACAACTGCTGTCTTGTGCCCATGATAGTCGTAGCTAATTCTTTGTAGCAGACCTCGATGGCCCTTATGCGACGCAGGTAATCAATTTCGAGATCTGTTTTCGCTCTCTGGAGCTTTGTTTCGAATTCTGCGGACATGGACTCCATCCTTTCTGTCATGCACCGCATCTGTTCTTGCATTGATTCCATCTCTATTTCTTCGCTGGTGAAATGCGGTTTGGCGATGATCGGCGTGTGTTGCACGGGGGTCCGACGGATCCTCTCCAAGAGCTCCGGTTCGTCAGCTCGAAAGTACCTGTGATGGAAACACACGAGGTTCTGGGTTCTCTTCTCGTGGTTTCTGTTGTCATTATTCGGTATCAAAGCATCTGGATTGCGGACGCGCAATTTGCTGAACCCGTAGAGGTTGAGTTGCCGGACGAAACTCGTAAACTTATTGTGTCTGAAATACTTTGGCAGCACAGTCTTTGGTTATAAATTAGCATCGGAAAGCCAGAACAGATGGTGGGATTCACTCGTTAGACGTTAGAGATATAACAGCGAAGTATCGAAAGGAAAAGTTACGATATAAAGCAAAAACTCGCACAATGCACGGATCGAACGTACCTCTGAAAACTTTTGAACGTCGAGAATCAAAAAAATCTTTCCGCCAGGAACCCAACACGCGGCAGGTTCGTCCGAATCAACGATGCGGAAAAGTTCTGTGACGGGTGTGAAGCGGAGTAAGGTGCAGTCGTGAGGTTGGGGTTGGGGTTGCGGATACCCGTGTTGGTCTGAGCAATAGTTGAGACCAGGATTTTTCAGCGAAGTACGAGTTGCACCAGTACAGAATTTATTGACCGGTGCTTACTTACTCGAAACGAAACGATTCGAATAATTGTGCCTCACATCCATCTTCTGGTTTTCCTCCGGTATAAGTTTTCCCGTCGTTTGTGGTTTGCACATTAGCAGTACAAGAAGTAGTATTTGGAATTAGGGTTGTAATMAACGTATGGTTGAAAATCGGTGAGTCGTCTAGATAAAATTTGTATTATGATATAAGATTGCGGTGGGCACACAAAGTATCTCGGATGGATCCCTTTTTCTGGTCGGGAGTTTTTCTTTTCTCGAAGCGAATGTTCAAACCGATGCGAAGCGAAGACTCTATTCTTCGCCGAGTTACAGTACCGACGCACTTCAAAATTCAATTTCAACAAAAGCATCGCCGTGCGTGCGTATCACAGTTTGTTCCCATCAAATTGGGCGAGCCATACTGTAAGTGACGATTCGTTTGAAGCATTCCCTTACAGTACAATACTACTTTCATAAGGGACCAAGAAAGCCTTTTGAGAAAAGGGCAGTTGTTTTCTAAAATTTTGGGGTTTTCAATTTTCCGTATATTTACTGTGTTACGATTAGTTTGGTCGTGGCAAGATTGATTCTTAAAGACGAAGATACGAGAGAAATACCTATTACGAGCAGTACTACTTCACGTTCAAGATACTGTACTGCTTCGTTTTGCGATCTTCCCTGCATTTATGACACGCCGAAGGAAAACTGAGCACAAGAAACGATAAATCTGAAAGAGATGCGAATTTTCTAGCTTGGAACACAATAAGTCTTGAAGTGATTCGTACAGCAGTGTACCGGTACTCTCCCTTTGAGTCATGGACGTTGACCTATTCGGATCCGGAATACAGATTCGTTCCGATTTGATAAAAACAATTCTAAAGACGAGTATTTTCGAAAGAACCTATCCTGGAATGGAAGAAACGCATACGACTGCTACACTTAAAAACAGCTTGTGATTCGTTCTACAAGAATGTTTCAAAAAATCGGTTTCGAATCAATCATGCCGAATTCACAATCATTGTCCATCTTCGATCAAGGGTCCTGCTGGTTTCATAAGAACCATCCGGTAACAACGAAACCATGGTGGGGTATCGATCCATAGCTTGTTACAATGGTTGGAACCCCGATCCCCAGATCTAACATCGATTCAGGCACAAAAACACCACGCTGCTCCGCAGCACTGCAGACAACCCCTTCGTTCGGCGGTCATAGTGAAACGAATTCGTTACAAAATTAAAATTGTTCTAGCGTAAAGAGTTGCACCCAACGGGTTCCCGGCCACCGCAAACCGACACCGCGCTGGTTCGTTTGTGGAGGCAGCGGTCGGAGCATATCTATATCGTGTTCCGTTCCGACCGGCACCCGTCGCGTGTTGCTTTGTGTTCGCGAACCGCAGCCCGCTACGGTCGCACCTTCCTCGAGAGATCCGTTCCAACACAATACCAACCCTTTCCCAACAAACCGACCAGAGAAATCGGAGCGGCACATTCCCAATCTAGTACAGAAGAATATCATAGCCTAGCAATAAATAGTACTAATACACAACGCAACCGGATCCGTTCCGATCCATCCGGTCCGGTCGGGTCGCAGCTCCGAGACGCTACACATCGAATTTTTCCAAGTCCCCCTTCCAGCCCCCAAACGTGTTATAGGACGAATCGTTCCCCATGGCTCCCGACGCCGCTGCGGTGGTTGTATAGGCATCGTCGTACGCAACGTCGTCTTCGAGCGCCTCGTTTTCGATGCACGCCGACAAGAAACTCTTGGAACGCAACCGACGAGCACTGAGTGCCCCAACCAGCAGGGCCATGACCGCCACGGTAGCAACGATAATGGTCTGGTCCTGGGAGGTCGAGGCCCCCCAGGATTTCGGCATCGAGATAGAGGCCTCCCGGGAGGATGGAGACACCAGAGAAGCTCCGCGTGTGGACGGCGACACCAGTTCGGTTTGACCGCCGATCCCACCGCTTCCGGCTGCATCGCTGCTGGTAGCATCGGTCAAAGAGGCTCCTCTGGCAGGTGGCTGAACATAGATTGGAGCCTGGTGCTGGAGTTCCGAAACTGGGATAGCCCTGCCGTTTGTGTCGTAAACTATAGTCGGCATTTGGATCATCTCACCGGTCTGTGACATCGCCGTGTCCTTTGGATCATAAAAGTAAACCGCTTGTTTCGATGGGGAGGCCTGCAATTGATCGCTTGCTGCGTTCGACGAACCAGAGGCCAACTGCATCGCACTAGGTGTCTGGATGACGTTCTGGTTGCCGGATTGATTCGAAGTCTGCTGTTGCTGCATGGCAGGAGCGGCAGCCTGGACAATGTTCATGTTTTGATCCATACCTTGTGGAATGTCACCCGTGCTTGCCATCGCCTGCTGCAGCGCCACGGCACCGGGCGGACCCAAACCCTGCTGCTGCTGTTGAACGAGGCTTGACGTTTGTACGGGTGCCGCCAGGCCTTGGTCGGTGGCCATCAAGACTTGCTGGGGCTGCGCCGCGCCCGAAAGTTGCTGCATTCCCAGAAACTGCTGCTGCTGCTGCACCATACTTGTTTGTCCCTGCGCAAGGCTGTTCGCCGGAACGCCATTGGCGTTCATCCCGTTCCCGAGCGGAGGAACCACCGGTAGGGCGTTGCCCTGCTGTTGCATAGAAACTATCTGGGGCTGTTGGAACTGCTGCTGTTGTGGATAACCACCCGATACCGGGGAGATTCCCTGGACGACTTGTTGCTGGAGCTGCGGGGGCGCCATCATCATCGCGTTCCCGTTCACGTTGTAAATGAGGTTTCCCTGTTGGTCCTGAAGCGGAGGATTCCCTGCCATGTACAACTGCTGGGAAGGCTGCCCGTTTCCAAATAGGTTTGGCAGCATCCGCCTGCCACTCCGGGAGTGCTGCCGAGCGCTGCCATTTCTATGGCCGCTGCTGCCGTTGCTATCGTGTCCCGCCTTGTGGTGCGTGCCCGCAAACAGGACGGCTGCTACGCCCCAAAGCACCAAAACGGCGCAGGGAGACAAAAGGACACCCTTCATCACCCACCGCGCAAACGAATTGTTTTCCTGCAGCTGCCGCCTCCGTTTTAGAGACGTAAATGGGAGTTCTGCGTATGGCGGAAAGGAAGCCGGGTCGTCAAAGCTGGCGTGCGGGCTGCTAAAGGGACCGTAGTCCGCCGGGTTCCGCCTCTGTCGCGTTGTGTTGTTGCCCGTGCTTCCCGAATGCGTCCCGTAGGATCCACCGCCATTCGAGGATAGCTCGCCCTTGAAGTTGAGAGGGGTCGACATGCTTCCACGAACTAATCACGGGAACGACAGCGCCGAGGAACTGCTTTACTACGATATGGTTTGGAGCGTGCGGATTGTTGGCGATGTTCCAGCGAGTTTCGGTTCCCAGTTTCTCTTCCCGCCTTTTTGGGCTCGCTCTTGTTCTCTCGCAGCTTTTCGATGATGTCGATGTTATTCGAAGGTGTATGGAGCTGGATTGTTATGTTTCTCACCAATCGCAACGGATGTGGATTCCGGTTGATCCGGCGAATGTTTCGTCAGTTGTTGCAGCCGAGAAGAAGAGCATCCCTCTCCGCTGTCTTTCCAAATCACGGATCAACACAGTTAAACTGCACAACACGATACGATGAAGGTCTATTGCGATGTAGGGTACAGCACGCTATGGTGAGAGCACGAGTACGTACTGGTACTACTGGTAGTAGTACGGTACCTCACGGTATGCTAAGTTGGGGAGCACAACGAAAAAAGGAGATCAACGCGGCTGGCACTATTTTTAGCGAGCGTGGCACTCCAGAACTTCCGTTTGAATAGTCATAAGCAGCCGATTTGAAAAAGAATGAACCGAGACTGCGGTTTGGGCGTTCGGAAGAGGGAACGAGAGATGCGCGGTAATGACTTTTTGGAATTCCTGCCTCCGCATCCCCGAACGTTCCCGACCTCTCTCTGCGATACGATACGTACCGTTCGTACTCTATGGTACGTAAGAATCATGTGTTACGGGAGCGTACCGCACCGTAAGTAGGAAGGATACCAATCATCACCAATAATTCTTCCAATCCCGATTGAAAGTTTCGATCCCATGTACGACTCGAACGACTCGAACGACCAAAATAACAGAGTCAACAGTCAACATCAGAAACTTGTCGTTCTCTTCTCCTTCAAAAAGATCAGCTCACCGTCCATCCACGCGACACACATTTTGTGTTCTTCTGGTGACATCGCTTCGTGGGAACAACGACCATCCACGGGCTAAATCGGATCCAAAACAACAACAGCAAAAGCAACAACGCAACGACTATGGCAGCGGTGAACAAGAAGCTGGTGGTTGCCGTCATCGGTTACACGGGTGGGGTAGGTAGCTGCCTCCTGACCGCCATGAAAAAGATCGGTCTCTCGCCCCACGCCCTGGTGCGGTCGTCCACCATGACGATCGGCTCGGCCGGGGAAGTGCCCGTCGACTACGGCGTCCTGAGCGCATACTTATTGCAGCAGAACGGAATCCCGGTTATTGCCGACGTGACGGCGTCCAGCGCCGTCCAGGAAAACTACGAGGGATGGCTTAGGCAGGGAATATCGGTCGTCGCCGCCAATAAGGGGATTTTTGCGGGTCCCGAAGACAAGTACCGGGCTCTTTTGGAAGCCGCCAAGAGCGGGAAATGCCGCCTCTTGCACGAGACCACGGTGGGAGCGGGTGAGTGACGTCCTTGTGGTGGTTGTTGTTGTTGTTGTTGCAATCGAGCAATACTGATTCTTTCGGACTTGCACTGTCCGCTTCGATGTGTAAATCATCTGATAGGATTCCATTATTTTTTAACAACCTTCCATTCTGTGCATCTATGGTGGGTTGCTTCAATGACCGCGATCCATTCAGGCCTTCCCACTCTCGGAACCCTGCAGGGTCTGAAGGCTTCCTCGCACGACATTGTTACGGTCGAGGGCATTCTGAGCGGGACCCTGGCATTCGTGCTGGGACAGGTCGCGGGGGGCAAGGCCAGCCTCTCGCAGGCCGTTAGAGAAGCGAAGGAACTCGGCTACACGGAACCCGATCCCCGCGACGATCTGAACGGCATGGACGTCGCCAGAAAGGCCGTCATTCTGGCACGCCTGGCGGGCATGAAAGGCGTGGACTTGTCCGCAATGGAGGTCGAGTCGCTGGTTCCGGAGGCCCTCCGGGATTGCAGCGTGGAAGAGTTCCTGGCCAAGCTTCCCGAGCACGACGAGTCCATGGCAGAGAAGGTTGCCAAGGTAGAGGAAACGGGGGGGAGATTGCACTATGCCGCCAAGGTGAACGTTGCCGAAAACAAGGTCGAGGTTGGGCTCTTGTCCTGCGAAGCGAGCCATCCCTTCAACAATGCCGGACCCGACAACATGGTGGCGATTACGACCGACTTTTACACGAGGCCTCTTGTTGTACAAGGCGCCGGAGCTGGTGGAGACGTCACGGCGACAGGAGTCCTGGCAGACATTCTACAGTGTGCTAACCAGCCTTGAAAGAATCAATGATTCTAGTGCAGGCAATGGACATTCCTCCCCTATCTATTTTCCACCTACATGGGGCCATTTGATTGACGCTTGTTGTGCAGTGCTATATAAATTACGGTATATACCCTACATTTGTACAATTGGATTGTATTGACTTCAACTACCTTCAACTTGTCTAATGATGACTGTTCCACCAGAAACAAACATCGTTTGGCTGTGCTCACTATATTGTTGCAACTAATACAACGTATGAAACTCATACTGACGATGTGTCATGATAGCACGTTTGGCGACTTGTCTGAGATGGTACCGATATAAGCTACAGAACCATACATGTGGTGCCGATAGAACGGTATTCATGAAAAAATCTTGGGAGGCAAGAAAATAGCTCAAGTACGGTAAACTCGGAAGTTCTTGCTGTACCGGTCGAAAACTCGGCGAATCGTTACAAGTAATGGCAAGTATTTGTACCGGTATGTCCGTACTCGTACTTCATATGTACGGTACAGATGAGACATGAGACAGATATCACCCGCGAGTACGTAGGTACGGTACGTATGGTACAGTATCGTATTAGGTTGCTTCGTACCGAAAAACGAAAAGGACAAAGGACCCTTGTTACAGTACAAGATCCACCTCTACCTTTAAAAAGGCAAATTCTATCGTACGATGACGGACGATATTTATGGCAGCTTTAACAGTTCGCAGATTTTGCAACGCCTTTTCACTCATGATTCTTCTTGACGTCATCAACGTGACTGACGAAAACGACTAAAGGAATTGTGAATTGTGAAACAATGGGATGCCCATACATGTACATGCTGTAAAGTAGTATTTCAGTAAAATTACTGTATCGTACTTACGTTACGGTCGAAGATGTACCGTACCATGCCGTATTTTCAGCACGAATAAGATTTCTGATTTTGAATTTCTGTCTGATCACTCATGATTTTTGGAAGATACAAAAGAATTGCTCGCACCCCCTGATCATTTTCTATTGTTAGTGCTCAGACGACTTCTAAGATACCATGTCGTTTCTACTTAATTGTTCGTCTCTAGCCCTCCTTCGGCCTGTTAGGGCATCCTTGAGAAATTCAACACAGACTTTGCTTCGGCCGATCCTGACGATCGATTCCCCCAGTAACAACGACAACGAAAGCCAATGCAGAGAATTTTCTTCAACACTCCCACGAAATGGAGATAGCGCGACAAATGATATTCAAAGCCCTTTCATTCGAAGGTCGGATAGACCAGAGTTGCGACCTAGTCTATACCATATACGTGCATCTGGCGAATCTAGAATCGATAGGGCAAGCCGATTGTGCCCCACCAGGGATTTGAATTATACTCCCGAAATGTGGGCTCGACACAAGGCACCAGGTCGGCATATTCAGCATTTGTTTACAGTCTTTGGGTGCGCATCATTTCAGCGTCTCATCTTTCCGGATCTTTTCTTGACTGCCTCTGTTGCTGCGGGACTCACGTACTACAACGTATTCTTCGGAGGAGCCGACCCATTTGCTTTCGACACTACTGCTTTCACGAGTTGCTCAATGGGAATTTCCGTCCTGGCTGGTTTTCGATTGAATTCTAGCTATGGTCGTTTCAACGAGGCACGAAGAATTCTGGGTCAAGTTAACAACTCGTCTCGCAATCTCATGGGTCAGGCATGTATGTTTCTAAACGAAAGAAACATGCAACGAATGAAAAGGCTCCTGAAGGCATATTCTGTAGCGTTGCATTTCCACCTCAACACAAAGGGAGGTCACTTCCGACTGAAAAGCACCGATCCTGAAACGAAAGGAAAGGTTAATGCAGCTTATAGAGATGAGATGAGAGAAATATTCCTTCCTGCCAACGAAAATCTTAGTGGCATCGATACAAAAATAGTGGCCGATGCAACTGCTGACTTTGACATAATCTGCAAGGCATATGAATCCGGATCCCATGTGCCATTGTTGCTTTCCTCGTTCATGCGCAAAATCATTATCGACCATGAATCAGATAATGACCCCAGATATGTCGTTGCAATGACAGATGAAGTTTCAAATCTTGTAGATTGTTTAGGTGGTTGCGAGCGCATACTACGGACCCCAATCCCTGTAAGTACGGTACATTCGCGGGGTTTCGTGACGAAAATTACTGGAAACTTGTGTCCCCTCACTGATGGCTCTCTACTCTTAACCTTCACAATGCGAACAATATTAGACCACTTATACCACTAATACAAGCCGGCAAGTACCTCTGAGTTGAATCCTCCGAAGTATAGACCTTTTGCCACCGGTACTAACATTTTTGTTTTCATTGAATTGACGATGCAGGTTAATGAGTTTATGGAGTCTAACTCTTCCACTTGGATTGTACCCTTTGACCGGGCCAGAATGGACACTTCCCCTTTCTGTTGTTCTCTCCTACGTTGTGTTGAGCATAGAAGATGTAGGTGTGGAGATCGAAGAGCCATTTCACGTTTTGCCATTTCGACAATACACCGAGGGTACGTACTGCAGTGAATACGTCTACATTCTACTCTATTTATAACGCAAACTCGTAAAGAGAAAATGAGAGAATATTGAATTTGCATTGTCTTCTAACCTGCCCTTCCCTCAATCAATCGATCTTGGTACAGGGACGGCTGACTCGTTAGACGCGATTGAGAAAGCCTATGGTCTCTGTCCGGAGAATCTATCCAATTCGTGAACAAGGAATGAACTTGCTGGGTCACTCAATAAATGCTCCTGATGAGATATTCAGGCATATTTGATTACTGTCAGTATACCCCATAGCTCACCGATGACCAAAGTGTACTTTTGAGGATCATTGAATTTGGAATACATTGACAAGACCACAACCTTGCGTATTCTCCTTACGAAATGTATACCAAATAACATTAGATCAAAAAACGCATTCTTTTTTAATCCCTAGTTGTTGCAACGTCCATCTTGAGAAAGTACTACACGTAACAAGCTTTTTTATTATGAAATTTAGTGAGGCAATGGCATCTTGCCTCATAATCTATTGTACAGAGCCATCACACCCTACACCTCGTGATATATGTATTCCCATGACCAACTTGAAGGCGTCACATATGATTACGGCTCATCTTTTGTTCGATGGTGATGACTGTGATCGACTATCTTGTTTCCTTGCTTGAATACAGCATGGTATTTAAACAATGATCCAGGTTCCAGTATTATTTCGCATGTTTACGTCATGACCAAAGGTTCCTTGAAATTGATCCATCCGAATGTTGGTTGGTAATTTGTTGCCACCTTTGCTTTGTAGAAGTACACGGAACCATAGATGAATACAATCAGCGAAAAGGACAAAAATAAATAGGTCAGCGCATTTTCCCAGGCTTCCTGACGCCAGTTTTTGCTACCACTGAAACCGTTCATCTGGGTTGCCGTGAGCGTTCCTTGGTATCGTCCCAACGACATATCTCGGAATGTTGCGGTGTTCATGGTTGTTTTAGCCATAAATTTCATACACTGATTTATTTATTTGTGTGTCACATCGAAAAAGGAAGGAGTTAGAAGCGACAGAAATGTATATATTGAATTGACATGGAACAGTGAAATGCATTTTTTGTCATTTTGTTTCTCGGGCTAAAACAGGTGCAAAATTTCGCAGACACAAATCCTTCGTACCTGGTTGACATTAGTGTAATCGGCATCGTCATAGCAATCAAACATATCGCCACTGTTTCCGGAATCATCGTCGTAAAATTTTGTTCCATCTGTGTTCTCCAAATCGTAGGCGACGCATGGCTGACAAATGCGGAATTTTCCGAATGCGCTGTCCCATCGAGCCATGGATTCCTCGAGCGTATCACTGCTGAAATCATAGTTGTAGTTGTCTCCACTTCCACTGCCTCCTCCTTCGAAGAAATTTCCGAGGATGTTTTCTACCGTAATGGGGTCGTTGGACCCCGACGACACGTACTCTTTAATGCACTGTGTGTCGGTATACAATCCTACTCGGATGTCTCCCCCCTGAATGGGTTTAATGTCGTAATAGATTTCGGTTCCATCGTCGGTCATCGTGTACGAGTCGATACAGCCCTGAGGCCAGGCCTTTCGCGCGTTTTTCATGAAGGCGTATTCCTCGTCGTTCCAAACGCAGATGCCCTCGTGTTTGAATAGTTGTTCCATCCAATCGTCATACGACTTATGCTTGAAGAATCCTAGCAAGGAGAAGTCAGTATTTTCCAGGTGGCAGTCCATTTTTTGGCACCGGGAGCTGCCACTGGCGTCACAAGCTGAAGTGTCCCATGAGTTTTGGGTGACGTTGTAGTACTGGTATTCCCCGATGCCTCCGCCTTCGTAGTCCAAGTCGACGTACTGGTTTTGATGCAAACCATAACAAAAATGCACAACAATTTAAAAAGAGAAGGAATCAGATGAGAAGGTCAGTCGACCAAAAATCAAACGAAGTGAAACTAATTTGGAACTCGTTTCTGAAAATACGAGTGTTATATTCAAATTGGTTCATTTTCTCGGAAGGAACTTCCAAATCTGATCCCAACCGGTATGGCCTCAAGCCCCGCACAACACAAMACAAAAGTCGAAGCCGGGAATTGATACGACAGCCTCCAAACAAAATAATGCCAACAGAAAAAAGCAAAGTCTTTGGACTTACCGCCGCCCAAAGAACATACCGCGAACATCCATCTTCGGTTCCTTGATCGCCACTGCCAGATCCTCCGTTCTGGTAGTAATCATCGTCAACCATGGGGTAGCAATCGACAATGAATCCCATCAATCTCCACGCCTGTTGGTATTCATCGTATTCGTCCACTCCGTAAGCAAAGGGCTCCACGTTGTAGATGGATTCCATGCCCGTCATACCACCGTCCGCTTCCTCTTCTTCTTCGTCATAGTTTCCTTGCTCCAAAAATCGATGGACAATTTTGCGATCAATATTGTCGGCGGGTAGGAATTCCACGTCGGAGTTTAAGGAAACCCATTTTTGTTGGGCATTTTCGATGGGTAGATCTTCGTCGTGTAGCAACGGGGGAAGCAAATTTTGTGAACGCACAATCGATTCTAGTTTGGCCTTGTTGGACTGTTTTTGGCGGAGCGTATTTCGGTGTGTGTGCGATGCGTCTCCCCTCTGCTTGTTGATTTTTTCAACAGCAAAAGTCGCCCCCACGGCAGGCATGGAAAGCATTCCCGTCGACAGTGACAATAGTATCACCAACGCAGATGTCGCTATCGTTTTTTGGCTTGTCTTCATGATGTGGAATTAAATACTTCTTCGGTATGCTACAGTGTTCCTGGTTTGGTGGGGTCTGGTCTGCTCTGCTCAGTATGTTCAAAGGATTGYCTTCTACAGCATTGAATGCGAGGGACAGTTCCGTTAACGTATCTGCATTTCGCTTGTGCTTTAAACTACCGATGAGCGAGAAAAACCAAGAAAGCTACGCTAAGGGTGAGACCGTAACAGTTTCGCTGCGCTGATATTATCGTACTAGGAACTTGCACGCGACGGTCGAGCCCCGATCAGCACTCAAGGCTTTAGGGCCAAATGCGGTGCGGATCTTGTCAAAAAAGTGACAACTAGGAAATTGGCTATCGGGCGCGGCAGTTGCACGCTCCTGCCAATCGAATTTTATATGCCCTTTTGACCAATTATTCGGCTCAGAATCCGTTCGCGCAAAGTCGACATCGAAACTAGCAGGAGAGAAATAGTTTTATGTCGAACGACGAAAAAAATACTTAGACGCATTGGACAAAGGTTCTGTACTCCCCTTGCGACTATTCGCACCTATGTCTCCTGCCGAGTATCGAATATTCAATGATTCGTATTTTTTGTGTATCAAACAAGTATGCACTTTACGTAATTGGTTGTTGGTTGGATATTTCGTTCCGTTCCAGGGTTTTCTCTCTTTCTCGGCAGTGAGACTGGTTCGATGATATTGTTCAAGCAGCTATTACAACGACCAATACCAAAGACGGCAGATAGACAATACTACCATTTCATACCCGTAACGACACCAGAAATCAGCCGTGGCACAATCTACCCTATCTGCCAAAGGTTTCGTGCTAGAGTGGTCTGTAGAAAATATTTGAATTCAGTTTGATTCGATACCATACCTACCTAGTTACGATCAAAAACACAAATCGCAGTTTAACTAAGCACGATGGTTGGTTTCTGTTTTGGAAGAAAATCGCTGATTTCCAGCATTCTGCTGCTTTTAATAGCACCAGTATTGGTTGCCGCCGATCGAGATACCCTGTCAGCCAATGTGCTCTCGAAGTACTGGATCGATGCTCGTGACGTTCTTGAAGAGTTAGATAATTACCAAGCTTTGTGGATCAAAATTCATGGATGTGTGTAAGTACAGTATGAATAGAATCAATATATGCATGCCCAGTTCGAACGAGGAAAATACCTGCGTTTTCTATTTTTGCTTCGTCCTGTGCGTTCTCCCAATCGATTCTTTCTCATGTGCTTCCTTTCATTTTATCGTTCGAATCTTTTTGCATTGCAACGCTGTCACAGTTGGTCAGAGTGTGCCGTTGACAATAATGACGACGACGGAGAAGGTCGAGATGGTGATGAGCAATGGTACCTGGCAAGAACGCAAGATTTCTGTGCCAATGTAGCGTTTTCGCTCTACGGAATCCCCAAAAATCACATCAGTGCTTTATCGTGCTCCCGCGGGAATTTCATCAATTCCTTCTTTACTTACGGTGGTGCTGACACCCTGCTTGAGGCGCTCGGTAAAAGACCCAGCGTCTATTACAACGCAGAGTACACCAATGGGTACTACAATTCCAATTACGCGAATGGTTACAACATTTCCAACGCGAATTGCGTGGTCAGCGAAGAAAACTACATGTCGAGCACCATGGGATGCTCGGAGAAGGGTAAATTCGCGCTCGCCGAATTCGAGGGAGAGTATTGTCATGGAACTGATTTTTACGACATTATCGATCCCCTTCGGAAATACAACCGCCAGATGGGACAGATTGGTTGCCACAGAATATGGGGAAGAAGCTTTGGATCGGCGGATGTAGCTACGCAAATCTTTAAGAATTCTTGGAGCTGCGATCTTAACCTTTACCCCAACGGCTGCCCCGACCCCTATGGAAAGAAGGCTAGCTACGATTACGCTCTGCGAGCAGTCGCCCACGGACAATCGCCGACCTGGGCAGTAGCCAACATGAAGCTCAAGGTGCCCCTCCGAGTCCTCAGCTGGTTCCTGATAATCGCCGGTGTCTTCTTTCTTGTCTTTGGTTACCATGTACAAAACCGAGAACGAATGGCGGCTAGTGGGGGTGGACTGAGAGGATTCTTCCGGGTGCTCAGCGAGGACATCCACAACTACAGGAAGAAACTGGCGAAAAAGAGACGGGCTGCCAGAACGGCGGCACAGGAAGCAAGGGCCCAGAGAAAGGCCGAACGAAAGAGGAAAAAGAAGAAAAAGAGCTCGAGCAAGCGAGACCGAAGCGGTCGCCGCTCTTCGCGCAACAGAAGTCGGAGCGGTGGAAACCGAGATATCGAGCTTGCTCCCACGGGCAGCACGGAGTTCACGGGGATGAGCAGCGCTTATGACTCGCCAGTCTCCAGCATGTTATAAACAACACAGAACACGGCAAAACATTCTTGGTCGAACACGCAGAGTAGTACCGCATATCCTGTGTACTCCCAGAAAAAAAATGTAATTTATACATCCATGATGAAAGGAAACGAAGCTTCCCTTTCAAAATACTTTTTTATGACAATTATCTTAACCAATATTTATACAACATTTTGATAGTATTGAATGATTACATTCATTGTTTGTTTAGATACTACTATGATTGCGGTAAAACTGCACCATTTCTATTGGACACACCCCCACTTGACCATTGAAATTCTAGTTCCAACAAAAGGAATCTTCGGCTAAATTCTCATACTTTCTCATCCTCAACTTCACACACAAAAAGATCTCTTCTGCATTGTTCAAAAAATTCGATTGTGGCATCTTCGACGTGAGGATCCAACTTCTTTTTCGGGAGGGGAGAGCCGATGCCCGATGGACCGGAAAACGCTATAATCAGTTCATTCATTTCGGCACTGTAAAAACCCCTCACGGTTCCCCAAACCATCATCAGAGCTCGGGGCAAGGGACAGATGATCAAAGATTTGCAACGTTCTGGCTGACGCTTCTCGATCTCCGTGACGATTTGACCTATCAAGGAGACAATCATGAGTATCACAGGATTAGGCCAGCCCTCGCCAGATCTTGCATCGACTAAAATTGCAAAAGAGTGTTTGGAGTTTCTATCCACACTCGCATCGATATAAAGGGCGACGGCCAGTGCCCAGGTCTCGTTGTCGGTGGCGAAACGATCAATCCTTGCTGCCAACACGTGAATAAGCTCCGTCCCTTTTTTATCACATAGTAACTTTCCCGTCTTCGGGTCTTTACGTCGAAAGAAAACCTGGGGAAGTGTTGTTTTGGACTCAGCCTTTCCTTCTCCAATGCACTTGCTGTCGTTGTTCTCCTCATCATCAGTTTGGCCGTCGTCTCCGCCTCCGGTTCTCGCTAGTTCTTCTTCACGCATTACTTGTTCTCTCATCGCGTCGTAGTCCACCTTCGGTGGTTTGTCATCGACGTCGCCTCTTTTCGCTTTCAACCTGGCTTCTCGGTCGGCGGCTCGTTTGGCTTCTACCGCCGCCCGAAGGGCTTCCGCCTCGCGCTTCTTTGTTTCGGCTGCACCCAAAGCTTTTCGAGCGGCCCACTCCCATATTGAACTATCGTCTGCGTCCTTTGCGGGTCGATCGTAGTCAAGCCCGTACAAACTTCTCCATTCGAGATATTCTTCCAGCTTCTCGCTTGCAGTATCTTTTATGAGTTTGTCTTTATCAAGTTTTGCGTTCGCTTTCTTATGGACTGCTTTGGCTGCCTGAACAAAACGAAAGCACTCCGCCTCGGTTGCGTCTGGGAATTCTTCTTTTAAACTCTTTTCAATGCTATCCGCCGTCATGGTTTTGAATACGGCAACTAGTAACAATATTAGTTGCACCTCTTCAGTTGTTGGTCGTTTCGCTCTTCTCTATTCAGTCGATCGTTTGATTATTATTATTCCTAGAAAATGGTATTTTTTCGGCGAAATAAGATACATCCCCAACCGTACCTACATACCGTACCAAATGGTGTACAAGGTCAAAAAGTGCTACTATCGGTAAAGGCCCAGCCAGTTTTTACCCATTGATTTTTTAAAGGATACAGGATTCTTTTTGTACTGCAGCATCCTTCTTTACTGGCGTCCTCCCTTAGCGTCGGGGAGGACCTTTCAATCAAACCCCAACATCTCATGTTCCGATTTGGTTGCACGTGTTCTCACCCCCACTGACACGTGCCATAAAAACCGACTCCGAGTTGTGAGCAGGGTCCAGTTTCTTCTGGAAAAGGAGCAGGAAAAGGAGGTGAACTTTTTCGTAACTCGTGTTGCCAAATGTTGCCACCTGGAAAATTCAGGACTTTTTTTCCTGCTACTACTAGTAGTACTAGACTACCCTACTTGTTACATCCCTCTCATCACTGTAAACAATGGATGATAAGAATATATTTTAACAAATATATATATATATAAATATTCATTTAGAACACATCACTACACCTGATGGTTCTTGAAGTTACTCCAATGCTCTTCACATACGGCAACATTGCAACTTCTGCAACCAACCCTCCTCCTTCTTCTTCTTGTTGCTTGACATTTTCATACGAATCCCTGGAAACTTCCTCAATCTCCTCACTGATGAGTTAGGATACCTTTGCTTTGCTTCTTCTACACAAACATAACAATAGATCCTCTTCACTCCTTAATACTTTCCACTGCATCTTTCTTTATGTGGCTTTGACGTTAGTACCTTTCCATGAGCAATGGTGCTGGTGGTCTTCTCCTTGTTCACACAGAAGAAACAAATCCTACAATTACAACAAGGGTGGTATTTTCCATTCTCTGAAGTCTGAGGCATCCATTTTGGCTTAGAATCTCCATTGTATGGAGCTTCCCAATCCATTTCAATACCTTTGTTCATCAATTCAATGCCAAGATGAGCTTGAAATCTTTTCCTCCCATTGTAAATCAATGTTTTGTATACTTTCTATTCCTTCATGCAACCAGAAGAAAATACAAAGATACCATCTGTTTGTGTAAAGTGATGCTGAATACTTTGCACTATCCTTGACTGAGATGTCAACACCATTGAATATGTATTTTGTACTTGTGGAGCATCAAATTTCTTTTTTGTTCTTTGCCCTCTGGATCTTCTCTTTGTCTCCACTTTCTTACCAGTAACATCTAGTGTAGTATGCAACCACCCAACAATCCTTTTATCCCTCCATATAGTAGCATGGACAACCTATTTTGCATTACTTGATCCAGTCATTCTTGACTGTGTGGCATATTGCATCCACCCTGGTTGTACTTTTCCAACTGAACCATTAGATAGCTTTGGAAATGGAAAATCCTCTGGAGATCGTGAACTGATGTTCCTCTTTGTCTGAACAACAGTTACAGCTGATACCCATCTGTGTTCTTCATATAACTCAGTCACAACTTTCATTGTAGTGTAAAAGTTGTCCATGAAGAAGCTACAGCCACAATTGTCTTGTCCAAGGTTGGATTGAATTATCAACCCCTGAATAATATCCCAGGTGGACCCACTACTAACACCAGTGTAGATCTCAAAGACAACTAGTAAGTACCCAGTGTCTGCATCACACAGACAGTATACCTTGATACCATGTTTGATTGGCTTCTTGGGAAGATACTGGACAAACCAGCAGATTGCTCTTTCTTTGTAAACAGACAGATCAATATTTGCATTCCACCCAAGACAAAGACAACCAGTAACTGCCAACCTCAAGACCAGCCCAAAGAATTTGAGGTGATTAGTGCTTTAAACTAAAACCTCCAAAGTAGATGCTTATACCAAGAAACCAGGCAAAGATGTAACCACAAGTGATGAAGTTCCATTGGTCTTTCACTCACTCTAGAACACGCTTCCATTTGTTGGGACAGATGACATCACATAGCTTGAGCATCTTTCTCTTCTTTACTTGTCCATCAGCATTAGAAGCTTCAGCCTCTGTTACCCAGTCTTCAAAAGTGTACTTGTTTGACTCATATGCTATCAGCTGAAGGATTTGTTTGTCAAACAAGAACAAGAACAAGAACAAGAACAAGAACAAGAACAAGAACAAGAACAAATGTGCCAATCCTTCCACCTTACAATGCTTTCTTTGCTGCACAGGAAGGACCTGGGGTTGTACCTCCTCCAGGTGAAGTATACTGGGCATAGGAGGGAGGAGACCATTCCTCAGCATCATCACCCAACTTCCAAGCTGTGCTTGGCATTGCTGTCAATTCCTCCCCCTGTTTCAACTGGTTCTGATCCTTTACTGATCAGATACTCTCAACTGTCAAAATTGATTGTTTCATATCCTTGTACCTTGAGAAGTCTKCACAGGCTATGACTTTTGCCTGGACTTTGCTGTCTTCCAAAGAATTAAGTGCATTGGTAAGTTCTTCACTTGTGACATGCTGTTTGTAGACAGTAGAGATATGTAGATCTGGAACATTAGACTTAGATGGATTCAAGGGACATCCAGCATACTTTTTGATGATCAAATATGGGTCCATGAAGTATTCAATTTTAGGAGGCATTTCACAGAAATTATTTGTGTGTATGGTTTTGTAGATCCATTCCAAGTCATAGCTCTTGCCATTCCATGCCACTGTGACATCAATCATGCAAGCTTTTTCAACATTAGTAGACTGTTGCTTGAAGATGTCCTTCACTCTGGCACTGAAGTCAACCAAAACACTTTGAATGTTAGGGGCAGTACAGATCTTCTCATGATCACAGGAGGTAATACCATGACATTCACAGGCTTGAGGAAGAAAAACTGCTCTTGGTGGTGGCTTGCAATATGAATCAAAATATCCCAGCTCATTGTGTTTGTAATCATAAGAAATTGCCGACAATTGAAGGATCCTACACTTTGGACCACCAGTACTGTTTGTGTGATACTTTATAGTGTTTTGTTTGGAGTGTTTTGTGTTTTCTTCTTTGGAAATTATGAGAGAATAAATGAAAGAGTAGGAGAGTGGTCTTATCCTAGAGTTGGCAAAGAGTTTCTGACCAAATCATATGTACATTTTTTAGTTCAGATGCTGCTGGTTGCCTGCTGGTGATGGTGATGGTGAGCTATTGTTGTTGTTCTTTTTGTTGCTAATTTGGACACCAGTAGCTACTAGTAGTAGTATCACTACTACTACTACTACTACTACTACTACTACTAGTAGTAGTAGTAGTAGTAGTTACACTGGTGCTGGGATATATAGTAGTACTAGTACTACTAGAAGTATAATTTTCAAAACAATTTTTTTCAAACGCACAAAATTACACTTTGCTTATTAAAATTATCCCCTAGATTTCCTACTGATTCCTACGTACATTCCTACCTGACAAGCTCCTTCCGGCTTCCAAATCCACCATGGTGACATCCCCTTCCAAAGGGGAAAATCCACCTCCTCCCTGGCTCCATTTAACAAGAAGCAACCAATCTAACCAAGACTATTCCAAGTATATCGATATCCCACAGCTGGTGGTAGCAGTATGCCACAGCTGGATCCATCCATTCCCTGTTCCTCTGGAAGTACCGAGTGGTATCTTCCAGTGTTGAAGTTGGTTCCGGCATCTGTACCGGAATGCAACAACACCAACCCCAGCCCCAGTATTCAACCAAGACATAGTGCATAACAAAGCCTGGAGTATATGCAACATCATACTCAATAAAGAAAATTCCCCAGCATCTCCATCTCCATGCAGTTCCAGTATTTTTTGGACCAGAAGAGTTTTCCAGTCTGGTTGTTGTTGTTTCCGACATTCGTGTCCGAATGCAATAATACCAACCCCAGCCGATACTGCATCAGTATCATTCCCAGACTCCCTCTAGTTGAGTGCTGTTCTGCCTCAGCTAGATCCATCCCCAGTTCTCAAGGACCGGAAGCTCAGTGCTTTCCGGTCACAATTGGTGTTGGTTCCAACACTCCTGCCGGAAAGGAGCAACACCAACGCCAGTTCCCATTCAACCAAGACCAATGAGACTTTGCTATCCATGCAACTTCCTACAGATTCCCAGTGTTTATGGACCGGAAGCATTTTCCGGTCATGTTGTTGTTGATTCCGACTTTTGTGCCGGAAGGCAACAACACCAACCCCAGTTACTCCAGCTGAGTGCTTTGCCTCACCTGGATCCATCCCCAGTTCTCAAGGACCGGAAGCCCCAGTGCTTCTGGTCATGATTGTTGTTGTCCCTGTCTTATGTGGTAGACAGAAACAGCAACACCCCCAAGTTTTTAACCCCGTGACTAGCAGTGACAGAAGAATTGATTTATTTGTTCCAGTTTCTTCTTCAAGAAGATGCTCTAACAGCTGCTCCTTTGGGCGGGTTCAGCTGTAATTTGGCAAAAGAAGTGTGACGTTTCCTTTTTTTCTTTTTCTTTTTGGCTTTTCTTTTTTTTTCTTTTTTTTCTTTTTGACTACAAGTGTCCTCAACCACTGTGGCGTAGACTTGCCTTAATTTGCTTGGCAGTGTGTGTGGCACACATTTCCTTGATCACTGCATCTGAGCTGGCCTACAGATTKGGGATTGAGGCCCCCCAACCTACGGGCTTGGTAGTGCCCTCTGAAATGCTAATGGCATGGTTCTCATCCATTCAAACTGTAAACCAACTGTTTTTATGTCCTCTGAGTCCAGTGACCTGCCTTAATTGGCTTGTCAGAGTGCATACACCTTGGTCGCGCCTCCACAAAACCTCCTCGGAGGGAGGCGGTGCCCCTTGGAGCAGCTAGAAGCATACTTTCTAACAAAAGCTATGGTTCTGGCCATCTAAGTGCCTCTTCTAGTTCACGAGGTTAAATATAATTTTAAGTTTTTTTTTAGTACTACTAGTAGTAGTGACAGCTGTGGTTCCACTGCAAGAAAGAAGAGTACTCTTGATAATACACTGCAACAAATGCTACTTTTTTAAAAATCCAGTGCTCATGCACAATTCTTGTGTGT